GTTCAAAAGTACTCCTCACACCCAAACCTCCTACAGCATCCCTGAAGCATCCAGCAATGTAATCCTCAAAGTAGAATAACACATTTGGACTCCGATCCCATTCATAATAATAATAATAATAATAATAATAATAATAATAATAATAATGCTTTTACACTCATGCCACACACTCATGACACAAACGTACAGAAATAATTGAAATGCTATTAATTCATTCTAGCCTCACTCACACTTTTTTTAGGGGTGGGGGTGTCGGGGGGGGGGGTCCATGTTTTTGATAAAGTAAAATTGTATTATATTGGAAAATGTATTTCTAAAATCATTCATAAAACAATACAAAAGAATGTAAAGACATAAACTTGACTGTTTGTATGACTTTTGGGTCACCAGTAATTACGGTCATTTCTGTTTTAATACAGTGCTATCTCTCTTTTGTCCCCTCCAACATGGGTTCTTGGTCCCGCTACTTAGCGGATTTAATTGTCCAATTATAACTCATGGACGAGGCCGTTTCAAATCTGACACGTGCAGTTGACTTGCCGGCAGGGAATTTGTCCATTGCGGTTACATCTGGCTTGTGTCATCTTTTGCGCTCTATCACCTCTATTTTGGAGGCCCACACCTCATGACTCACTTGTTCTGCTTGGCGCACTCAGCTGTTGGCGCTCTTGTCAGCACCACCTACAAAGCACTGGGGGGGCTCAAATTCAAAAAAAGAAAAAGAAAAACAATGAGAGATGGTTATATAAATTGGACTCTTAAACACTCCATCATTGCAGTTCACGCTGCAAAAGTGGGTCGACATGGGGCAGGCATCTACGTTATGGTTAGTGGAGGGGAGTCAAGTTACCCCGCATGAAAAATATGCACTCACTGGACACTTTATTAGGTACACTTGCAGAGTCCGATACACGAGCCGTGTCAAAAAGTTTACAAACGCTCGTCATTGACATGAATAACTGCTGCGGGCTGCAAACTGCAGTCACTGTAAAAAAATATATATATTCGTACTCATTTTATATACCCGTACAACAAAATGTTTGAAAAATGTTGCGATGTAATCATGTGCCCATTGCACCCACTCTCTTCTATTGAATGAGAGGTGCTAAATGTCCTCCAACGAGTCTTAAAATTTCTTAAATTTGGCCTCCCTAAACCCGCTGTGTCCCAAAATACAAGTCAAATAATTAAACGGAACCACTTCACTAATTAGACTAATACAAGTAGAATGTATCTATTTTTACAGTACATAATAAGTATCAACAGGAGCCCCAAAAAAAAAAAACCGAACCAATTCATAAATTGTGTTGCACTTCATAATACTGAGAGGTGTTTTTTTTTTTTTTTTTATAATTTGGTTTCATTAATACCTCAAACTGTTTGCTTTCTTGATCCAGCTCTTGTATTGGCTCTCATCGGAGTGTGGAGGGATACCTAATGAAGCGTCCCGTCCTTTAGTCCATGACGTGTGTACAGTTTGTGTGTAGCAGTGCTGTGTACCTGATGGCTTATCCGCATGGCTGACTCTCCCTTTTGTTTGCGTGGCCAAAGCGCCTCAAATTACAGTGAGTCAGCTTTCAGTTCTTACAGTAATATGAAAGACGATGTCGGCCCGCGTCGTGATCACGATATACACGGAGGCAGGAAATTGGAAAAGATGGCCAAACCGCAAAAGAGCGCACGGAACATCCCTCACGCTCTTCTGCTTGCGCGTCAGGGCTCGGCCGACTCCTACACGAGCCGGCCGTCGGACTCCGACGTGTCCCTGGAGGAGGATCCCGAGGCCCTGAGGAAGGAAGCCGACAGGCAGGCCCTCGCCACGCTCGAGAAAGCAAAGGTCGGTGGTCCGCTTGACTTTTTACTGAGTACTTTTGCCATATGTTTGTGCCAATGTTGAACCCAATTTTTATTTTGCTTTTTGTCCAGACCAAACCAGTTGCGTTTGCGGTGCGGACAAACGTGGGCTACAACCCGGGCCCCAGCGACGACGTTCCTGTGCAGGGCATGGCCATATCCTTCGAAGCCAAAGACTTCCTACACATCAAAGAGGTTTGTTTGCGCTACCCTGTGCTCGCTGATCGTCTAGTAATGCCTGGTTGTCGTTTTTTTTTTTTAACGCACACAGAAATACAACAACGATTGGTGGATCGGGCGTCTGGTGAAGGAAGGCTGCGAGGTGGGCTTTATCCCCAGCCCGGTCAAGCTGGAGAACACTCGGCTTCTACAGGAGCAGAGGATGAGGCAGAACCGACTCAGCTCCAGGTCGGCATTAGGAAAAATAGAAGAAACGATAACCCACCCAAAAAATCAAAAATAGGGCTTTAAAATGTTGAAAAATCAAGCCGATCTATCTTCTCTCAAATGCTGGGAAGATGCCCCCCTTCAAATGTTAACTGTCAATCAAATGCCACAACTAGGACCTAGAAAATGGATGCTACACACTAAAAACTGGTTAAAAGTAAACCAAAGCGAAATGGCTAACCCAACGCTGGGTCCAAAAGAGATCGAGCCAATGCTGGGTTATTTATACCAAGCACATTGCGGTGAGGATTTGATCCAGCACATTGGGTCAAGATTTTTTATCCAGGGGTAAAAATTAGCTATAGCCATGATTTCAAGCTAGCAACAAATTGGTTAGCTGGTTATCATAGCATTGGTTAAAAGAGACCAAGCTAATGCTGGGTTATTTATACCAAGCACATTGCGGTGAGGATTTGTCCCCAGCACATTGGGTCAAGGTTTCTATTCAGGGGTAAAAATTAGCTATCGCGAGGATTTCAAGCTAGCAACAAGCTTGCTAGCTGGTTATCATAGCTTTGGTTCCAAAAGATACGTGTGTACCATTTTTTTGTGTGTGTGTGTGTGTGTGTGTGTGTGTGTGTGTGTGCGTGTGCGTGTGCGTATATATAGCGTCTTTTTTTATCAATCAAACGCCTGCACATTGCTAAAATATATCCACATAAATCCTCAGTTGGCTGCTATAAGGTGCTCAAAAGCCGCCATGTCAGGCTAAAGCCCCAGTGAGACTTTCCACCCAATAACGGCAAAAGGCGGTACTACACCGAAAGGCAACGCGACTCGAAACTCGAACTTGCCTGTCTTTCTAAACTCCAGGCTTGCCAAAGCTAACATCTCTATTTTGTGGTGTCTTAGTAAATCCGGAGGAAGCTCCAGCCTGGATGTCGCCACGGGAACGCGCAGGCCCACCCCACCCGGCACAGGTGAGGTCAAGATAATGTGTACATTTTCATCTGAAGAGACCGATTGGACACTCGGAGCATCGGTCAGTGGACTCAGCGGTTCATGAGCTGTAGGGGGGGTTCTGTCTCAAAACCGATCTTCCCAGCCCGTGTTAAATCACGAGTTCCTGAAAACAAAGACCCCAGCCCATTCCTCGATAACTTCCTCCTTTCTGTCTCCGTTTTCCGCTCACGTCACTCAGCTTTTGTTGCTTGAATTAAGGCTTTCCTCTGCCGTTTTGTTGCCACATCAGTTGGTTCTCATTTCATAGTGTGAGTTCTCAGACAGGCTTTCACACCGACGCACAATCATCTGTGGGATTTTTAAATCTTGATACGGACACATTTTTGTCGGGCATAATCGCGGCAAAGAAATTGGACTATTTCCATCTTGTTCTCGCAAATTATAGAGGCACAATCGCTCAACAGATGACTGACTCTGGCTGACTGGCTCTCACAACATCACAAATGTATCATGGTTGCGGTACAATGAGCCCTACTCATTGTACCGCATTCAACAAACGACCAACTACCTCGATGTGTTCATCCATTATTTGATCGGACACTTGAGTCGTTCAAATCCAAACCAAACTAGTGAAAGTTTCTAGTAAAAAAAAAAAAAAAGGCTTCATTTTACCGCAAGAAGCTAACCATTAAAATGCCTCCTCAGCCCGAGCAGCCAAAATTCCACAAGCCGAGATTCTATTCGGCATTCAGGCTTTTCGAAACCCGTGAACAAGGAATTGTTTATTTCTATTCAACGCCATCACATGAACAAATTACTCGAAATAACTTTGACTTTCGGTCTCTCCGGTGTCCGGGAGTCTTGTTGTCCTCAATTGATTCCCTTCTTCTCAGCTTTCATGCGGCACTGCGTTTTCTCGCGACAATCCGACATTTCCTTCATTCACTGTCATCTCCTTTTGTCTTTCCTTTGGTGCTTCCGTTCTGATGCTTCTCACATCTCATCTCTCGTCTTCTATCTTCCCACCCTTTTTTTTCCTTATTTCTGTCACTGTCTCTGGTCTTTCGCTCATTTTACTCTGCGCCCTCACCACCAACAACCCCACTGCCTCACCACCCCGCCCTTACCAATCAGCGCACGTGGACATGCCCACTGTGACCTATGATGTTGACCCCCTGGACCTGGATGCCGAGGAGCTCCCTGAGTCGCAGGGGGACCCTCGTTCCCCCAAGGGCATGTCTGGCAGCGTGACCTCGCCTCAGGCCAACACGCACCGGCTGCCTTTCTTTAAGAAGGTAACACTAGGAAGTGATGGGACTGGAGTTTGGGATTTAGGGAGAGGGATGGGGTGGGGTGGGGGGGCGTCCTGGATGCTTCTCGCCTTCGCCAACACCCCTCCCTCCCTTCCTCCTCCCACCTGCCTGCATTTGCCCCACTGCCCCTCTGCCCATAACTCTTCCAAGATGCCTCCACTAACACCTCACAGCTGCCTGAAACTCGAATAGGAAGGCGCTGTAAACTGTACCTCCGATGGTGGTACACCCCCCTCCACCCCACCCCCCTTCCTCAATGCTAACCTGTTAATGACTAACCATTGCGTGTGTGTTTTGTGTGTCTTCTCTGTGCATGTTCTGTGGAATGCTCCCATAGGCGGTCCGGCTAAACAGAAACAGAAGTCGGTGAGTGCGCTTTTCCTTTCTTAACCAAACTAACGTCTTCATTCTTATCATAAGATTCAAAATAAGGGGACTTTTTTTTTTTTTTTTTTTTTGTAGCATTGCCCCTATTGAAAGTCAAAGGCGGTGTTTGGAATCAATTCCTCATTCTCACTCCCTAATCAATAAACAGTGAAGCCCAGTTTATCGTGGGGGATATATTCCTTAATGCTAACATAATGCAAAATGCCATAAGATGGCTAACAGAAATTAGCATTGATGCTCTTCAAACAACTGCTACACACATACAGCAGCATCACTTAGAACAAAAGAGAATAAAAGTTTGTATCGTGAAACTGAAACGTACAAAACACATTAACCAAACTTGGCTAGCATATAGTATGCAACTCCATAAACAGAAATGAGCATACAGTACATGATGCTGAGGATAATAAAAGCTCAAACAACTGCATGCATCAAATGAAACGCTACCCCAGAAATGGAAAATATTTTCAATATCAGCACAATGTGAGATTGCTTTTCTAATGACCATCGGTTGTGCTACTTTTCAAGGTGCATATGTTCAAATCGTAACAACAAAATGAGAAACTCGCTCTGTGGAGATGCGAGTGTTTCCCAATCCCAACGCAGCCAAATATGCATTCAAACGCATCCCCTGCCAATCCTCAAAACCCCTCGCCGCCATGGCGACGCCGCAGGTGCACGTCGATTGATGCGCCCCCGACACGCCTTCATCTCCATTTGTGACGAAAGTGGAAGACGGAGGCCCCGCGGGCAGATCTGTTTGAACATAATCACAAGACGGAAATATCTCGGTATTAACATTTTTAGGTGGCCAGAGCATGTGGGAAATGAGATCGAGCTTGTAAGCATTAATAAAAACGTCCCTTCAAAATTTTCACTTCATCGACTTTATCTAAAAATCATAATTACTATATCGTACATCATATATTTGGGATCATCCTGGGCTAATGATTAGCATATCTGAGATGCATAAAACTGTACACACATACTGTAGTCATCAATTTCGTGTCCAGTGATAACAGAACAGATATTTTGAAAGCTTGGCTTTCTATGCCAAAGCGGATCACTGGAGTCGAAATGCGTGTAAACGCGCCGGCAGGGCGAACCGCGTTACTGTACACCGTACATGACACCGCGCAGTCCAGTGTGCACTGTGCTAACACTATTAATACACCGCCGTTATGCACACCACTCCAGCGCCGGGCCCCGCGCAGACGAGAGCCATTAGGAGCCTTTTAAAATATGTATTTATAGCCCGTGTGGATGGCGGATGAGGCCGAAAGAGATTTATGCAATGTAATGTAGTATCATGTAAATGCCTTACAATACAAAGAGGAAGGCGTGTTGAGAAATACAGATTTCCTGCCGTCGCGATGTGACTGTTTTCACCCCAGTGCTGCGTTGAGGCTGGGGGGTGGAGGGGTGGAGGGCGGGGGGGACCTTTGAAGAGCGAAAGCGCTTATATGGATGAATCATACGTGTCGTGAGTCACAATTTAAGAATAAGCTTAAAGCATGGCTCATCTATGCGTGGGTATCGCATAGGCTCAATGTACCCTTTTTTTTTCTTCTTTGTTTTCCCTCTTTGCTTCAACACAGAGTGCAAACATGCTTATATATACTTTTTTTTTTTCACCCTCGGGTACACCCGCGCAATTCATTGAGATTCACGACCAGTGGAGGAGGTTTAACTATAATAATATGGCTACTTACAAGTATTGGTGCCGCGGTGAAAAGTGTTTAGTAGTACCTCGGTTATGAGTTGGGGGGGTTTGAATCTCGGGTCCAACCTTCCTGCGTGGAGTTTGCATGTTCTCCCCCCCGTGCGTGCGTGGGTTTTCTGCGGGTGCTTCAGCTTACGTCGACATTGCAAAAATATGCATGGTAGATTAATTGAAGACAGGAAATTGTCTGTGGGTGTGAACGGTGGCTGCCGACCGTGTTAAGTCCAATTATGTTCTGCATCGTGGCCCCAAACTTAAAATCTTGTCGGCATAAGCAGAAAATTTCGGAGTGGATACCATAAATCGACTTGCCAACTAAATCTTCCATTTCCACTCATTTTCACCGAATGGCTCATAAATACGCTGACAATAAATGCAGAATTTTTGAATTAAAGTGAAACACTAAATACTAAAAAAATATCTGAACATGATTTTTTTTTTTCAAGTCCGTCCTTAATATAGGACCACCTCCATTTCAGCAGACCTACTTAATGTTTTGGCGAGCGAGTGTAAAAAGCCAGCTCCCCCCGGTACTCTGGGCATGATTACACAGACGTTAATTAAGTGAGAGAAAGCAAACAGAGGAATAGTAGTTCCTGTAATGTGGGTGAAAGTATTTCACGGTAGTCAGTCAATCATGAGAGAAGTGTACTGTGTATCGATTTGGATGCTCTCAGGACGTGTGTCCTTTTATGTGTGTATTAACCCTTTCATGCACAAATAATGAGAACCTACATCAGGATTTTTTTCTCCAAGTTTTTGGCATGGAAAAAAAAAATAATAATGGCAATGGATGGCAACACACATAAGGGCCCGTTGTAGTGGTTGATGCACAACTGTGACATTAAGATAAATGAATATAAGAGAATTTGAATAACTGTCCGCTGTCGTCACCGCTGTCCCTGAAAGGGTTAAAAGATGCGCGTCCCTTCTCACAGATGGAGCACGTGCCTCCCTATGACGTGGTTCCTTCCATGAGACCCATCATCCTGGTGGGCCCCTCGCTCAAAGGCTACGAGGTGAGCTCACTCACGGGACGCTTCATTTCCATACACCATCGCGGAAGAGCCGATTTGAGAAATTCAAGCTCAGCTAAGAAAAGGCTCGGGCGTTTCATTCATGGTCATTGTATCAAAAGAAAATCTTCCCGAAAGATTGGAAGCTTCCATCGCTCAAGAATAATTTGGGACAAACTCCACTTGTCACATCTTGTCGATGGAAGGGCCACATGTGCAATTATTTTTGTCCACATACGTGCACAAGTGTAGCAAACCATGTGTTCCAATTCGTGGTTGAGACTTGTGGATGCGACGTGAGTACGTCCCAATACTTTTGTCCGTATCTCTCCGACAATGTCCATATCGCCGTCTGCGCTTGCAGGTGACTGACATGATGCAGAAAGCTCTCTTTGATTTCCTGAAACACAAGTTCGAGGGAAGGTAAGTGGTCCGTCCTCAGCGCTGCTTTTTTTTTTTTTTCCCCTCCCCCAAAACCAACCGACGACCTCCCCTCTGTCGCAGGATATCCATCACACGAGTGACGGCGGACATCTCGCTGGCCAAGCGCTCGGTCCTCAATAACCCCAGCAAACACACCATCATCGAGCGCTCCAGCACCCGTTCCAGCCTGGGTAAGCCCACAAAACACACACCATTGTCATTTTTGTCGTCATCATACCACTTTGTTCAATTACATTCGAGTCAGGAGAACCTCCCTGGCAAGATCTATTCAGGGCAGTGTTTGCTCCAGTTGTAGAACTTGGAATGGGGTACTGGATTCTGTTCACGTTTCTCAGACATTGGTCCATTTTGTCAAGCATTAAGTCGGATTTCCAGTGAGGGTTAGACTCCGACAGTTTTGTTCATAATCATCCAGGGAGAATTTGTAGGAGGGGGGTCCGGTTTGGTAGGCTCAGTATTGTGTCTCTTGCCTTTTTTTTTTCTTCAGAGTTTGTGTTTGTGTTGGCTCTATCAGGCGTCACGCCGGGTCCAATTCACCCTGGAAAATGATTGAGAAATGAACATAATCATAAGTATCCTTAAACCTACTTGTGAAGTAAATACTTCGAGGATTACAAGTAGACTTCAAGTACTCGGGGACCATGAATCAAAACCTGACAAAATTGTTCATCGTTAATTTTCTTCCCAACTTCCTGAGTCTGACTTCTTTTCATCCTGTCTCTCTGCCCTTCTTCGCCCATGTTTCCTCTTCCTCCTCCTTTGGCCCACCTTCCTCATCATCTTCTTCCCTCCTCTTCCACCCTTCTCTTGAATCAGATGTACTGGGTATGTATTCACCCTCCACCCCCACCCTACCCCCTCTGCCCACCTTCTCCCCCTTTTCCTCCTGACTCTCACCCATCCTCCACACTTGATTTTGCCCGTCTGCTTGCCTTGTCTGCTGCTCCTCATACTTTTCTGTGTGACAGCCTGTAGCTTCCAATAAAGACTACCCCCCCTTAAAAAAAAACAAAAAAACCAAAAAAAAAAAAAAACCAAAAAAAAAAAAAAACCAAAAAAAAAAAAAAACCAAAAAAAAAAAAAAAGTGTTATGAAACCAAAAAGCGTTTCCGTGGGAGGGCAGAAGGGCCGCGAGCTGCTCTCTTCGAGCGGGAGCCAAACCGGAGTGGCAAACTGATACTCGCATGCTGCTCTCCACCTTGTGTGAGGGTGGAGGCACTTTAGATGGTCCTCATGGAGCTACTGTGGGAAGTTCGGGGTGGGGGGGGGCAAGCTTCTCACTTTGCAACCAATGACTATGTGTGTGTGAGTGTGTGTGTGCACGGAGGTTAATGGAAACCTTGCCTCCACTTCCGGCCTCAATAGCTCTTCAAATAGCGAGGGCGCCACGCTTGATGGCAACATTAACCACATTTCCACCAAGTATGGCGATACCCTTCAGTTTAGCACAGCGCGGTTTGGATCGCCCGACAATCACGGGACTCATACGCTTATGTTCATCCCCATATTGTTCCAAGCCATGTCCAAGGTGTAAATAATTTCATATATTACGGCGGCACGGTGGTCGACTGGTTAGCACGTCCGCCTGACAGAGCAGGGGTCCAGGGTTCGATCCCGGCTCCGGCCTTCCTGTGTGGAGTTTGCATGTTCTCCCCGTGCCTGCGTGGGTTTTCTCCGGGTATTCCGGTTTCCTCCCACATTGCCAAAACACGCACGGCAGGTTCACGGAACACTCTAAATTGTCCCTAGATGTGAATGGGTGTTCGTCTGTGCGTGCCATACGATTGGCTAGCAACCAGTTTAGGGTGTACCCCGCCTTGTGTCCGAAGACGGGCTGGGATAGGCTTTAGCATGCCGACGCCCCTTGTGAAGACAGTACCCGTTAGCCCAAAAAACATTAATCTTCAACTTTTTTTTTTCCCCCTTTGGCTTCTGTCATGTTAATGAGAATGTGTGGCATCTCATTCCTCAAGTGCCCCCTTCTGTCCTAATTATTTTTATTTTTTAAAGAGAAAAGCAACGTCCTTCAATGTTTGGGAGGCGACAGAATGAGAATGCTCTGCCCCGTTCCATTTAGCTGTGCATAAATGGAACCGAACGTGTGATCTGAGCCAGTTCACGCTGGGTTTTTTTCGTGCATGATCGCAAAACTAACCCTAGCAGTTCGAACAAACGATCAGCTCGGAGTGTTGCTTGTCGTCGACTCACCGCTTCCTCTCGTGTGTTTGCCGGACGGCGCGTAGCTGAGGTTCAGAGCGAGATCGAGCGCATCTTCGAGCTGGCCCGCACACTGCAGTTGGTGGCCCTGGACGCCGACACCATCAACCACCCGTCTCAGCTGGCCAAGACCTCTCTGGCTCCCATCATTGTCTACATCAAGATAGCATCACCTAAGGTCAGTGGTAGAAGTACTTTTTTTCTGTAGTGAACCACAAGTAGTAGCACCAGATAGTAATATTTCTATAATACGATGAAGTGCAATTTTCTCATTAAAAAAAAGCAGGAAGTAGTAAATGGCAACATATAGCTAATCTATATTGACTAGATAAGATAAAGATTTTCTTTGCTTTGGTCACTTCCCCTTTCTGATTCGCTAGCTAACAGCCAATCAGAGTGATCAAATGTCACTGACACCATTTTGTGTGCTATATTGAACCTGGAGAAAACCGCTTGCCGATCGAATCAAAATTAAAAGTGGTTTCAAATGTTTATTGAAAAAAAAAAAAGTAAAAAAATAAAAGTAAATAACATTTAGCAAAGCTTATTTTCTTTCGTCACTTCCCCTTTCTGATATGCTAGCTAACAACCAGTCAGAGTGACCAGTTGTCACCAACGCCATTTTGTATATTGAATATGGCGAAAACTGCTCACCAATCAAATAAAAATTAAAAGTGTTTTTTAAAAAGGTTTTACAAATTTTGGGTGAGCTTTTCATTGGATAGTGTGTGTCCATTTTAAATATCGTCTCATATTTGTCCTTCGTTGAGTCTTTGAATATTTTCAAAATGTTCACCATTTTTGGGGGGTGGTAAATGGTTTCCAGGTTCTGCAGAGGCTCATCAAATCCAGGGGCAAGTCCCAAGCCAAACACCTCAACGTGCAGATGGTGGCGGCCGATAAGTTGGCTCAGTGCCCCCCTGTAAGTCTTCATTTTGGACACTTTTTTTGACTAATATTTACCCCTAATGCAATGTTGGCATCTCGTCCACACGCAGGAACTGTTTGACATTATTCTGGACGAGAACCAGCTGGAGGACGCCTGCGAGCACCTGGCTGACTACCTGGAGGCCTACTGGAAGGCCACGCACCCGCCCAGCAGCAACCCGCCCAATCCGCTGCTCAACCGCACCATGGCCACAGCGGCGCTGGCCGCTTCGCCCGAGCCCGTGTCCAACCTGCAGGTACAGGTGCTCACCTCGCTGCGCAGGAATATGGATCTGTGGCCCGACATGGACGGCCACGTCGCCGCGGAGAGCAAAGAGGACGAGCACGCCCTCTAAAGTCAGTCCAGCACCCAGACTCTGTAGCCACCTGAACGTGGGAGGAGGAACTCGTCAGAAAAACAAAAACAACCCCCCTAAAAACAAAAAACAAAAAAAAAACACTCACACACATACACACACGTGACCTGCTAAATTAAGACCACCTCACCTAAAGTGGAAATCCGGAGAAACTCAGAAGACTCCGCCTCCCTCCTCTTTCTCTTTGCAATAAGAGCCAAATCCCCTGCCCTCGTTTAGTCACCTCGGTGGCCTCCTTCCTCCGCCAGCCGCTCTCCAGTTCGCTGTCCTCCCCCGTTGTTGCCATGGCGCCGCCCCTGAAAACAGCAAGTCATGCCTGCCTCCTCTTCATTCGGAAAAGGCGCCCGGTTTGGTCTCGGCTGCCACTAATATGCCTTTTAACATCAACAAAAAAAAACTAATCCAAAAGTGCAGTTTGATTATGCATCTAACACTTGCCTGGTTGATTGATCTATTGGCTATGAAAAAAGTCCATCAGGCCCTGGGCAAATTTAGGTGCTTGACGGTGACATTCGATTTTTGAAACAGACAGATGGGCCAGGTCAAAGTTCAAATGTGTACGAAAAATTTATAACGTCAAAATTCACATTTTGAATTGTAATACTTGTAATTGATGTACTCATAATTAAAAATGGGATGAGCAGTATAGAAAATTGACAGATAATCAATTATTTGACAAAATGTTAACCATTTTAAAAATGTGATTGCTTTTTTTAATTGTAAGAAACCAAACCATTTGAGAGCAATGGAATTAAAAAAACTAAATTAATACATTTTAATTGACCAATTTTAGGGAAAAAATGACAAATTAATCCATGTTCTCCTGATAAATAATAAGAATAAAGTAATATTTGAAAAGCAAAGATCCCCACAAAATTACCACCCAAAGGTAGAATTTTTTATTTATTTATTTTTTTGCATTTTGAGTCAAAAAGGGTCTTATCTGTTGTTTGTTGCCATGATCTCATTGAGCCAGAGGGTGGCACAGTTGCGTCGATTAACAGCTTGGGTGTGTTTTGATTTGACCACTTTTGTGCATATTTTTATGGACGTTTTGAGCATGTTTACACCAGCACTTTAACCTGCAAATTTTGTTCGATAGTACAATTTATCTTAGTACATTCATAGTATTGTATAGAGTAGTGTTCCCCTTGACTAACCGCTCACACTGTTTGTCTCTGCATGGTCACTGTGCACGTGGCTCGCCTCTGACTCGCCGCAGGGGTCCAACCTGGTGCACAGCGAGCCCCCCAAGCGTGAGGGCACGGAGTGCGGCGGGAGCGAATACCACGGCAACCTAGGGGGAAAACCTCAGCAACAACATCAGCAACAGCAGTACCTGTGCTCCTCCCGCGGCCAACTCCGAGGGGGCAGCAGCCGCGGCCTTTCCCGGCAAGACACCTTTGACTCGGAGACGCAGGGCAGCCGGGACTCGGCGTACACCGAGGCCGGAGACTCCTGCATGGACATTGAGACCGACCCCTATGAGGAGCCTGAGCCTTACCGCGAGGGAGGCGGCGGTGGCGGAGGGGGCAGCCGCCTCCACTTGGCGCAGCACCACGGGCGACAGGCGTCCTGGGAGGACGAGGGAGCCGAGCCGGACCAGGAGAACCTGAACCAGCCGCCGGCGCCCAGTCACGGCGGGCAGCAGAAGCACGGGCGGGCCAAGCTGAGGGAGCGCTACTGCCAGGAGCCGCTGGACACGGTGGCCAACAAAAGCCGCAACAAGAACCAGGATGACTGGGGCAGGGACGTGTACATCCGCTGAGGGGACACAAGAGGAGGAGACGACAAATGTTTACATCCGACAATACAGTAATCCCCCACTATTTGATTATTTTGCAAATAGTGGGGGATTCCTGTACTTTGCTTTTCCACATCAATACTGCATGAATGTCACCAGACGGCACGAGGACACCACTTGCTATGATTGTCATCTCCGTCAAGTTTCAGTAGAATGTGAGGACGTCGTCACGTCTGTCCTCCAAAGTCTTAAACAGGGTCTATATCACCACCCCACTCCAGTATACTCCCCCAGTGTACAGTGTCAGGGTCCTCCACACTGTCCCTTTTTAAAAGTCCACTTCTTATCACCCGGACCTTAAAAGCAGGTGGACAATTCGCTATATGTTCGATATTTTTTATGGACACAGTTTTCTCCTCCATTGTAGCTTTCAGTGTGCTGCTCTTGCACCCCGAGCCCACCATCCTGCCAAAAATCTCCCACAATCCCAAGTGCCGGAACGTTTCACCAAGCCATGTCCGCCAACAGCGCTGCTGCCGTCTTAACTCTTACACTCCTTCTTTGCAGGCCACATGTTGTCTCTATCTCTAGGTCCAACACATTTGGCTTTTTTTTTGTGTTATTTATGCTCAGATATAGTTGCTTAAAATCACAGCCACTCAATTTGTGTGTATTCCCCCTCCCCCACCCCCACCACCTAATCTTCTTTTTTAAGCTCCATATGTGAGATTGTGAGAGGCTTTAAACATTAACCGCTCCCCCTTCCTTTCTTCAGTTGGATAAATGAATATTGAATAATGTTATTGTTGCGTTATCGCAATTGTTTAAAAAAAAAAAAGAGAGCTAATATATGACATAATATGTATCATTGGTGCCTGATTGTAGCTGCATCTTTTTTTTTTTTTTTTGCTTTTTCTGCCTTTCATTTTTAATCTGTGGATAAATTCGTATTTTAATTAAAAATGTAAGCAGAAAATGCCACTGTGTCGTTTTTTTAAAGTGTTATAGGTCCCAGTAATACGGTTATCAAGGTCAGCGGAGTCAGCTAAAATGCCCCTTCAGTAACCCACTGAGGATTCACTCTAATTAATACACTTTTAATTACTTTTAGCATCTTAAAGGTTCCTCAAGGATAGCTATAAGGTTTCTATGCCGAAGTCATAAAAACGCAGAATGGTCGGGTCAATCTTTAGGTGTTCCGGGTTACATTTCTTACAAATTAATCAGTACTCATTCGACTTTAGCCCATAATTAGTTTCTTTATCCGCTCTAATGTATTATTGCTGACTTTCCTTATTTCACTTCTTGAATCGGAAAGAACGCGGAAACAAAAAGCCACTTGCCCTTATATGGACATGCCCCGTGCGTCACTGGATGCGTCATCATCTCGCTCCATTCGAGAGAACATTGTGGCCGTCAAAACAGTCAAAAATGAAGCTTGTTTCACGTCGCCATTAAAAGTAATCAATGTAATAAATGAAATGAATATAGAAAGTTAATATGAACTAAGAATTACACACTCTCGTAATATTCAACTGCATATTTTCTACTCGACTGAAGAATCCACCGTTTGGAACGTAGCATCAGCTTGTTCCTTCCTCAGACGTCTGCGTTTACGTCCAATTTTTACTACTAAATAATAAATAAAACATTTTATTCTTTTAGTGTTTATTGGTCTCCCTCAATGGAACAGGGAGACTGAAAAATATATATTTTTCGTCTTTATCGCCTGAGACGCTAGAACCGATTTCACGAAAACGTTATGTTATCTACTGGTACGTACAAAAATGACCCAAAAAATTCCCTGCGTGAAGCCAGGACTGAAATAAAATTAATTACTTCGTGGAAAGTCATTACTGTAATGTGGCTTCAAATACACAACTTGATTTGGCAACATTTTGGGAGGTGAGTTCATGCGTCACGAGCCTGGGTGGGAAATTCAAGTGTTGAGGGCGTTTCAGTTCCGTTTTCCTATTGTGAAATAAAGACTCATGGTTTTCAGAGGAGAGTTCAGTTGACAGTTCACTTCATCTACTACCAGGATACTTGATCGTGCGGATTTGTTCATTCCTTTCCTTCTTCTTACACACCAGTTGGACATGGGCTTCTTCCTCACTAAGATGATGACTGTGTTTGGGAACAGGGGTAAGAATAATTTACTCTTCAATTTCCACCTCCACAAAAATAGAATAACATCTTGAAATTAGTTATTCTGTAACCACCTGGCCAACAGTGTCATGTACTTACACTGATCAGTGTCATAATGCAAGTGCTGTATTGCTATTTTTAAGAGATGTAGTTACTAAAAGTGAACGCTGAAATTCATTTGTTAAATGAAGGTCATACAATCAAGATGGCTTCACAAAGTTGTTAGCTACTATTTGTGGTTAATGATATATCAATAAAGTCACATGTAACATTTACTTTTGCAATCATACTCTTTTTATATTGTAGTCTTATTTATATTAAAACCTACCCATGTACAGTATATTGCTGTGCTCTCACTATCCGCAGATTAATGTAATACTGTGCCATGATAATTATTGTTACATTTCCAAGTTGAAGAGTATACTGAATTCCTCACAATTTTAGTGCCTTTTAAACTGAAGTAATATCAAAACATTTTCCAGAGCACAAAGTCCTCATTGTTGGTCTGGACAACGCAGGCAAGACGACCATCCTTTACCAGTTGTAAGTGACGTCACCTTATTTACAAAACACCACATTTTCTTGACCTGTCGCTCATACTGTTATTCACTTCTAGTCTGACAAAGGAAGCCGTTCACACATCACCGACGGTGGGCAGCAACGTAGAGGAGATCACCGTGAGGAACACACACTTTTTGGTGTGGGACATCGGAGGCCAGACGAGTCTTCGGAGCTCCTGGTACTCTTATTACTCCAACGCTGAGGTGTGTTGATCGCGTGTCCTCTCCTGAATGGTTACATAAGCATTTCTCTGTCCTTATGGGCCTTATCGTATCGTTGCTTCTGATAACCAGGAGCTGTGATAATAACAATCAGTGGATGTGTGCAAATGTGCTTGAGCTAATTATATATTTTTGACGACGGTGCACTTTTCAGATTGTCATCCTCGTTGTGGACAGCACGGACCCAGGACGACTCAGGCTCACCAAAGAGGAACTGCACCGAATGCTCGCACACGAGGTGCATAGGCATTTTCCATACATTAATTTTTGAGCCCCCTCATCATTCTCATAAACATCCATCCATTTTCCCATCCATTTTCTTCTTCTTGTGTTTCTCGCAGGACTTGCAGAGTGCCGCCATTCTGGTGCTGGCCAACAAACAGGACGTGAAAGGTTCCATGACGGCGGCTGAGATCTCCCAGCACCTCACGCTGGACGCCATCACAACGCACAACTGGCACGTGCAGGCCTGCTGCGGCCTGACTGGCGAGGGGTCAGTCTCAGGACATGAAAGTGTCATTAAAAAAGCTGAAAATGTGAATTGACAAGGCAACTTTGTTGTATCTTACAGCCTCAATGCCAGTCTGGACTGGATGCAGTCGCAGGTGGTCGCCTCCTGAACGTCCTTCTACCTCTTCCTTTAAGGTTTTGTCAGGATTGCATAACAGTGAACAGTGGGACACAGCCTACCTCAACTGAACCGTGTTGATCATACGGTTGGTATGTAAGAAGGTGCGCCACATTCAAGGCAGCATAAATTGGGATTGTTCTTCGTGTGATTATGTCTATGTGTAAAACTGGTGTGATTGTTCTTTCTGTTCTACTTGAAATAACACCAAATGAATGGATGTTTTGTTTTAGAACCTCCTTCGTGCTGGGAAGAGCCACCTATTTTTGTAAATATTTCGGGCGTCTTCATGATTGTATGCAATGGATTTATACTTTATTTTTTTAAGTGATGTAAATTATTTTCATGGAAATGAGCAGGAATGAATGGGAATTAACTGCACTGGATATTTATAAAATGTGTGTTTAATTTTTATGTTTACTTAAACAAAACAAACAAAATGCAATAATGAACTTGTTTAAAATAGACAGTTTATGCCATTGTTAAAAATACAGTGGTGCCTTGAGATACATGTTTAATTTTTCCCATGACCAAACTCGTAAGTCAATCTCTTGCTTAAAGGGTCATATCACCTCAACATAGATGCTAATAAGAAATTAGCATTAAGCTAGCAGACTGAAAGGCTAAGCTAAATGACAGCTCAACTCTCAAAAAACTAAATCGTCACTCATCTCAAGACACTATTTTATATTACATTTATTTATTGTATAAATTGTAATCGCTGAGGGGATTTACTCAGTTTTGATATGTTGTAACATTTAACAAAATATAACAAAAAGCTATTAAAATATAAAATATTAAAATAGCTATTATTTTATAGTTATTTATGAAATACATATTTATTATACTAATTGCAACGCCTGAAGGCAGTTGCTAAATTTTGTGAATAATTTTGCTAATGTTTATTTTTTGTTTTGACCTCTTCATGTTATTTTCACAAATGTATTGTGACTATTTTTCCAGCTGGTTGGTATGAAAATCAGCTATGTGTAGCATTGCATTACAGAGAATAAAGTATCTATTTATTCAAACTTCGTGGATGCATGTCACTAAGTATTGCTTGAAACTTAAAAAGTCCCCATTTATACTTGTTTATATCAAACCATTCTTCTTATTGCTCTGGGACTGACACAGTTTTGAGGCAGTCATGTTTGTGTATTTCATTTTCATTTCACAATTTAAACAGGAGAATCAAGTAAAGGATGGCGGCCAGAATGTCAACACAATCCATTACCAGGTTCCGAATGCACAGTATGACATACAGCATCACCGCCATCTTGAAGCAGTAAATGAATTTTCTCTTCAGACTCTCCAAGAACCAGCATGTCTTCTGTCCGCTTGCAACCACGACTGAGCTAGCAGCCCGCGTCAAGCGTACAAGCATCGTGGGAACTTGTTTCTCAGTTTTGCCAAGTGCTGTTGTGGAGGAAATGTACGGATAAAACTGAAGAGGCGTCCTCTTGTGGTGCATGCAGCTCACCATGGAGCTTATGGTGTGCAGGTGGCGCCAGCATGGAGGTTGTTGAGCGTGCGTGGAGCACGTTCCGGTGACCTGATACAGCAGGATGTGCTTTTTGGATTTCCCATGGAGCGGAGTGCGCTCGGTTTGAGGTGGTGATGCACCAGTGAGGGGGTGGTGAGGGCCTCCGATGGAGGGTGTTGACAGGAAGCAGCTTCTCGCTGTTGCCGAGAGCCAAGAACCGACACTGCTGAGGATTTGCATCCTTGCCGCTGGGACGATCTCCTACAGCATTGGTGTAATTTAGGTCAGACATCCATTCTGGGGCAGTGCACGCTTCCTGTTTAAAATTACACATTGTGATGTCATCATGACTCCACCTATCTGTCCTCTAAGCCAGAGGACAGATAATTAGCACAGTGCTAATTGTGAGGTCATGCAGGTGATGGTATAATTTAAATTGGATTCCGGCACACTCAGGTTTAAATTACAGAGTGTGATGTCATCATGACTCCACCTATCAACCCCTCTAAGCCAGAGCACAGAAAAATAGCACAGTGCTAAGTGTGATGTCATGCAGGTGAGACAACTCCTCCAATGCACCCCGCAGACCATGCGGGCCACTAAATGCGCTATTGACCAATCACTAGTTATTCCATATTTTACATTTGCCAAATCTCATGGCACACCACCAAACAAAAGTCACAAAAGAAATATATACTACACTGAAATAATGAAAATGAATGGCTGTAGCGGTGGTAACGGAGGGGCATTTCAGGAGTAATTGTTGGGATGAATACTACTGATTGATTGACTGATTTATTGAACATATGAACACATTATGAAATTTGATCATGTCTAACATTAACAGTGTTTGGGAATTTGATAACCTTTTGTATCAAAGGCAATAAAATGAGCCCATGTGACATCTCCAGCCAATCAATTTAGAGAAATAATCATCACAAAGCTTTAGTATAACCAAGGAAATGGACAGCGAGGGAAGTGTTCCAAGTAGAGAATCTGTTTTACAACAAAATTTGAAATATAACAGTTTTCACGAATGACCATCTCATCTATTTAGAAATGCATGGCGTCTGAGAGGTAATTATTGTTTAATTTCGCCTGAATTTCGTGGAAAATTTTTGAATTCAGATGTTTTTAATCAAATTGGTTATATTTTTGGCCATTATCCTCATGCAATAATTATCAATACAGCCTCATAAATATTCTTAATATTTTTTTGCGATAATATGTAATAATCTAAAATCGAAGCTCTTAAATTAAATTTAAAAAAACCCCACAGAACTAGCGCGTGACTACTAACGACACGGGAAAATATTTTTAAAAATATTTATCCGTTAAATAAATACGGCATCTGGTCGATTTTTGAAGACAGAAACAAAGATGACATCATCGCCCCGCTTGCCAGCGACAAACAAGTTGTCACGTGTTTTAATACGGAAGTTCCAGCGGTGTGTTTGTTTGAGCACAAATCAAGATGGCAGCGCACCCGGGTGGAGGAGGACAAGGTTTGTTAGCCAGTCGCACCTTTGTTATGCTGACTTAAAATACCTGTGACAATGTCGCCGGCGCTTCGTAACGCGGACACGATATTGCCCTGTCGTCATTCGTTCTCATTCTACAACTGTGGCTTCACATCTCGTTGGCAAAACGCAACATTTTGTTCCACGAGAGGCGAAACGTTAGCCTCACGTTAGCCTCAAGTTTAGTCTCGAGATAAGTCAAGAGGAAATAAACGACACCAGTGTGGGCACTTAGACCTTAAAATGTTGACCTCTATTCTTATGTCGGCACAATGTTCTATGTTAAAGCTTCGCGTTTGCTTACCTCGCAAAACGAAAAGCTTGTGTTGATCTTTCTTTACAGTTCTTGTGTAAGGGAAGTGAATCTATGAAAGGTATGGTGAACAACTGATGGTCACTATAAAAGTAATGCATTGACTCAATTACACCTCGAATAGCGAAAATCCGCCAAAACGAGTTTTAATTGCCTTTTCATGCCACAAGTTGCCGGCAACCACAATTTATGTCTGACTGAAACTCCTCAGCTCACTTCCACATACTTCCTTGACACCAAGATGCCACCAGTATCACACAAAGAGCAAGTAGGCGACTTAGTGAAGGCAGAACTGTGATTTTTAGGGTGGGGGGGCTTGATATGTAACCCATGATACATTCTGTCAGTATAGAATAATGAGTTCTTGTTTTTGAGGTATTGATTTTCAGACAAATTCATGAGTTGTGTGAAAATAATGTCAAATGTGTTGCGCAACACAGTACCAAACAAATGGGCACAATGTTTTGTTTGTATTCATTTTGTTTGCGGATAATGGAGGGATTGAAAATGAAAATTGGTGACTAAGAGAATCCTGTTCTTTGTCTTGCAGGCGACTCCAAGGAGCAGATACTGGAACTGGGGGCTGTCTTGTTAAAAGAGTAAGCTCAAATGTCACGTGACAAATCACAAATGTGTGCTTTGGTATTTTTCGATTGATTACATTTTTTTTACCCCCCTTGCAGTTTCATTTACGAGCGAGTCCGCCGGCACGGAGACAACAGCGCCGTCGTGACCCGGGCCCAGCTGGGTGGAGGCGAGATATGCGATACCAGCCACAAGAGGCTGGCCCAGTGCCTACAGAAGATTGGAGACGAGCTGGACGGCAATGTGGAACTCCAACAGTAAGTAGCTGCGGCATTTCATTTTTATTTTTGTTGTTAAAGAAAATGAAGAAACAAGACTTGTATGGATATTATGACATATTAGTAATATGGCATGGCTGAGAGGGCTGCTTGCATTTTGGAGACTACTGATAAAGTGAATTCCTCTTTACGTCCATCTAATCGACAGTATCTTTATCGATCGCCTATCTATTTTGTCTAACTGCATCGACTAGTGTCTGACTCAATGATTGGCTGGATGATTTAATGGGCTGATATTATGGTAAAACAGTCAAATGTTTAATATGTTTACAAGCGTACATGTTAAGGGACCTTTTATTCATTCTTCTTTTTTTTTTTTAATCACACAACGAAACTGTCATCAGAATTTAATTCTAACAAATATCTGTCTCCGCCTGGTCTGTCTATGGTTAACAGCAACCCTAATCCAATTCTCTGTAATTTTCCCTCGCTAAGGATGATCAACTCCCCCTCGCTGAGACCCACCAAGGAGGTGTTTGTGAAAGTGGCTGTTGAGATCTTCGCCGACGGAAAGTTCAGCTGGGGCCGAGTTGTCACTCTCTTTTACTTGGCCTGTCGACTAGTCATCAAAGTGAGTCCAGCACCCCCAAAAGAAAAAAGCCCATGACTAAACATCACGACAAAGAGAGAGGCTTAAGGGAAACGTGCAATTCATTTTTTTTATTCCACAATTCAACACAAATACCACACCCTATTGCCTTGCCAAGTTGGCAGTACAGGTTTTTGCTCTGTGTTGGGAGCCAAAATTTGAGCTGCACATAAACTACGGGAAATGGGAAAAAAATATATTTATATGGGAAATTAACTGCCATTGATGGCTATAAATGTCAAAAGATGCGTTTTTACTGGGCTGGCAGTGAATGAGTTCAAATACAGTAATGCCCGTACTTGTGGGCAAGTCAGGATGACTGTTTATTTCACACGACAAATAGTCAAATACTAAATTAGAACACTCACTTCAGCTCTTAATATCACAATTACTACAGTGCATACAGGAGTTAAATTTAAAACAAGTTCATGTAGATTCTCGTTTTTGTGAAATACAGCATGGCCCCCTTTCATTCAAATAAAATGTCTAAAAATGTGATTAATTTCGAACCAGCAAAAATGTCTCTTTGTGGTGTGAATCCAAATTTAGTGCTATTTTTTTAACAAGCTCAAAAAAGTCGCAAAATTCGAAGAATACGTGGTTTTTAAGAGATAGGCAATAAAGCACAAATTTGGGTAATAAAACATAAAAATGCTGGGATTGTGTATTATGGCAAATTGTTTACGTTTTAAAAATAAATCACAAATATGAGATTATTTTAAAGTGATACCTCTCCCCCATCTCAGGATAATTTGACCACCTCTGTGACATGCTGTCATTGCCAAATGAAGCGAGGCCTTTCTAAATTGTGTCTTTTGGTTGCAGGCGCTCTTGACTCAAGTTCCCGACGTCATCAGAACCATCATCAACTGGACCATCGACTACCTCCGTGAACACTTTCTCAACTGGATCTGGGAGCAAGGAGGCTGGGTAAGGACGTCGGAAATCATCACCCGTGCAGGTACTGCTTTCTCAGCATTCAAACCTGCTCATCGTTTTCTTTTTTAATTTATTTTAAGGAGAGCATTCGCTCTTACTTTGGCACTCCGACGTGGCAACTGGTGGCTGTGTTCATGGCAGGGGTCATCGCCACGATAATCGTGACTCGTAAAATGTGAGGAGCACACTGGTTGGGGCCAAGGAGAACAAAGAACTTGCATGAGGATTTGAACTTTTTGTAAGGACTGTGGCGCTGCTGTAAACCCCTCCCTCCCCCCTCTTGTCATGTGGGCCGTATGCACTAAAGGTTGTTTGGGGGTTACAAACACACACACACTAGGCACACGCCTGAGCGAGGGAATGCATTTTAAATAATTTATTTTGTACCTTTTTGGTACCGAAAGAAAAGAAAAAAACACTATTTTTGTTTTCTGCTGTCATTTGGAGGATGTCTTACCTCCTTCATTTCATTCAGAAAGAATGCATCTTCCTCATGATTTTTCAATGTGCAATCAACATGTTCTATTATTGGCTTCTTACTTTATGTAGAAAAATAGCAATCCTTAATTGTCAGTAAGATTAAAAGAAAAAAAAAAAAGGTGTTCACACGGCAACATTTGCTCCGGTGCTGCGCCGGGGCAGCACAAGTAGAGCGTTCTCACGTACAAAGTTACACCGGTGTAGCCCCTGAAAACAGCTTAAACCGGAGCAAATTTAACCCTGCTCAGGGAGGTGGTTTAAAAATTTGCTCCGGAGCAAATACTCGTTTGCGGGGCAGCACCGATGTAAAATACGTGTGAACTCTACAGGGTTAAAAATTTGCTCCGGAGCAAATGCTAGTTTGCGGGGGGAGTAGCCTCGCTACGCATGAGAAGAGTTGATTACATAGGGCTAGAATGCGTTGCTTTCGTGCTCTGTTGTACTTCCGTCATCTTTCCTTTTGTAGGAGACTGGACTGTCTCGGAGTTGTTTGTGTAGTTTGTTCCTCTGTTGTGTGTTCACAACCCCCCCATAGAATTTATTTTGTGATTTCCTCTCTTGATTTTTTGTTTGGCGCACTACGTTTGCTTTTCTGAGTGTCATTGAAGTCATTGTTGATTTACGTTTTGGGGGGTGGTCATTGAACGCCTCTCGAGCAGAAGGCACGGAGACCGAGGAAGGAGAAGGACGTGCCTCTGCAGTAGTTGCTTGAGTTGTTTGTTTTAAAAAGAACCAACACGACAGCTCTTTGTTTTCTATCGTTTTGCACCGCTGCAGAAAATGCCGTGTGAACGCAAGTGGGGCTGCGCCGGGGTTAACACGCTCAGGGGCTTTGTACGTGTGAACGCGCCACAAAATTTGCTCCGGTGAAAGATATATCGCAACAAAGGTGCAGCACCGGAGCAAATGTGTGCCGTGTGAACACCCCTAGAGACTGTGGCAGCCATTTCTGTCCTGTTTTTGTTTGACTCCCGTATCCAAAGCAATATGTCGGCAAGTCACATGGTAAATAGAGCAGTTCTGTTGTCTCCTAAAACGCAGTCTGCTTATGTAATGTTTAGTCATACTCTGGACCAGCTTTTGTAATAAACTGCGCGTGTGGTCACTAAACAGACACAAACAGAAAAGTTGAGTGTACCTCACCTGTTTGAAAAGTGCAGTACTGTTTTAGTTTTGAGAGTCATTCAATATTGAGTTTTGTCTCCACAGCAAAAAAAAAAACAAAAATTAGACATTTGTTTGTCAGTGCCTTGGTCTTGTTTCTTTGTTTTTATACTGACATTTTCACTTTTTTCTATCACATTTCTAAAAGTTTCAAGTCAAGCTCTGGAAAGAAAAAAAAAAAAAACAATCACTTTGGAATGAATTTTTATGTTGTAATATGGATATTAAACATTAACTCTTACCATGTGTTTTTCTTTACTTGCATGATTAAACTTTTCCAAGATCAGCCATTAACATCCGCAGACAATTTAATTTCAATGAAGCGGAGAATACAGCTGGAGGTTTAAATGCCAAAGCTCAAATGTGAGGCTGATGGGATGAGCTATAAAAAAAAAAAATCACACGCACAAAAAAAGGCCACCGCTGGTTATTACTAAGTCACAGGTTTATTGTGTCCTTTAAAATAATTAACCTGGCCTTTTTTTTTTTTTATGGCAAGTACCAGAATTCATAAACTGAAGCTTATGTCCTGGTACTTTTTTCATTGTCCCTGTAGCCTATTTTCATTTGTGTCTGCAGCACAATGAATTAGAGCAGCATTAAATCATACATGAACACTCAGTAGAGTAGGATTTATTGCAATATTTAGCTTTTTCTACAATCGGGGACTTTTGCTGGCTAAATGAAGTACCAAATGAATGCAATTCCTGAAGAGGAAATACATGTTTAGATGCTTTTTTTGTTAAGGGTACAGAATTATGATAAGAAACAAAGCTACAATGTAGTTTGATGGCTACGAGGGACTAAAACGTCCAGAATAAGACATCAAATCGTGTGAAAAGGACTTCATTGTTCTTTAACTCTCATCTAGTTTCCAGTGCGCCATCTCTGATCCTCCACCTCCAAGAGGCACTGAAATCAGGAGCCGGGACGCAGCAGAGCTTCAGCCCCGACTCCTGAACCTCCTCGTCGTGAGCCACTGTGCAGCCCAGCTGTGTCTCCAAGGTGAAAACTCTCTCGGAGATCTTAAAACGGAAAGAAAAGTTCATTTAGAATGGGTGTGATGGTGGATGGCAGTAAATTCTCGAAAAAGGTTTTTCTTTTTAGCAAAGTCTAACATGAATAATTTTGTCTAGTGGGAACTTGGGACGCTTCTGTGCTGTCCTGATAAATCATAATAAGAGTACAGGCACACCACGAAATTAGAGCCTCATATTTAAAAAGGACGAGGAGATGTTGGGTCTTACTTGATCGCTGATGCCGGTGGCGATGTGGCCCACCTTCACCCGCCGCGTCTCTCGGATTTGGATGATTGTCCCGTTGAAGTCTCGGATGCAGACGTCCACCCCTACACCCGGACCAAAAAATTTACCGTTTGATTCTGTGTATGTGAGTGAGAGACAGTGAGCGTGTGAGCGTTAGGTGCGCTTTGGTGGTGCACCTTGGAAGCAGCACGGTTGAGGCGGCGAGTGGCCCAACAAGTCCAAACTAACGCTCTGGTGCCCGTCCAGCTGGCTGCTGTCAGAGCAGACTCCTGAACTATAGTCGTCGGCGGGGCTCAGCGACCAGCGGCCCGAGTCCTGAACAAACCAAGCGCAACTCTTAAAACACTTAAACCAAATTTTTTTTTTCCCCTCTGTGGTCATCTTATCTGTTCTCTGATTGGTTGGGAGAAATCAGATGGTTCTACTGCCTTTCAGTTAGGCAACCACTTGGATTTCTCAAGTTGGCCAAATATGGTTTCCAGTGGCTTTCAAACTTTTTACATCAGGTGATGAATGGAGATTAATTATGTGCAGAGTCAAGTATTTAATAATTTCCTTTTAAAAAAAAAAATAATGTGACAATTCTAGTTGATGATTAGAAAAATAAATACATAAATAACTATAGGTTGGAATTGGCCTTCTGACAAGAAAAACCATAAAACAAACAAACAAAATGGCGCCAGAGGTACTAGTTAGCCCCAAGGTAGCTCATGGTTATCATACTGTCAGAATTTAATATTGGCCCATGCCTAATTGAGATGCAACTGTACCGTTATGAGTTTCGAATTACCTTTTTGTCCCACGGATCCCGGTTGGAGTAGGCGTCGCTGCTGAGACAAGACAAGAGCTGCTCCTGCATCTCAGCAGAGTGAAGCTGAGAAAGGCTACTGAGATAGAAGTCTAAAGAAAAAAAAAAAACAGAAAGCGCTGTAAAATACGGTGCATAGACGAGCCAAAACCGTGAACGGGAAGCTCACCTTTCTCTAGTTTACGCAGCTCAAGTTCTGGAACAGTGTTGGTGATCCTGTTTTTCGACTGTTTTAAATCGAAATTAGTTCCTTGCTCACACACGTCGGCTTCGTCTTCATCGCCGTTGTTCAGCTGCACTATCGAACTCCTGTCCGTGTTCTCCTCCTCATCGTTTTCACACTCGACTGGTGGGGAGTCTGGCGTTCAGCCGCACTATCGAACTCCTGTCCGTGTTGTTCTCATCGTTTTCACACTCGACTGGTGGGGAGTCTGGGGGTTTGTTGGCGAAATAAAGAGGTTCCGTGTAGGAACTCCTCCATGGGCTTCTGAGTCCGCCAACTGCATGCAAAAGGTGAAAGTAAGGTAACATGAAGGATAAGGCTAACCTAAAGGTAAAGTCAAGATACAGCTGAGGTAAAGTTAAAGACAAAGCTAAGCGAAAGGTATGAACCCCATGCAAATTCCAGAGGAGGAGTATAAGCACCTTGTTTGAGCGCTCTGGCCGCACGTTCCTTCATGTCACTGGCCGACGCTCTCTTGCTGGGATCCTTCTGCAGTCCCGCCTTGATCAACTCCGCCGTGAGAGGGCCGCAGTCCGGCGGGATCTCTCGGAGCGGCGGCGGGTCGTTGGCGATCTGTTGACAACAGGGCGTCCATATGACAGGGATGTCCAAACGTTTTTGTTTGAGGTCCACATCCAGAAAAAAAGTTTGAATATCGAAAAAGGTTCAACAGACAGACATTTTAACTAACCTTCTGGCCCCTGTCAAATGTCATTTTTAGTTTAGGGTTTTTATTTATTTATTTATTTTTTTGGTCACACCGTGGGCCGCTAAAAATAGATGGCAAGCCGCAAATAACCCTGGGCCCGTAGTTTGGATACCCCTGCTGTATGGCATGGATGTACTGCACTTAACGTCCTCCCTTATGTTGAGCATTGCAGTATTCACATTTTTGTAGTCTCATTTCATAAACTCAAGATGATGAGTATTTTTTGCCACCTGTGTCGTACGGTACCTTAAGGAAGAGCCGACAGGTGTAATATCTGGTCCAAGGTGGGCACCCATTGAGCATGTGCAGTAACATGCAGCAGCTGCTCCACACATCTGCTCTGGCTCCGCGGGGTTCGCCCATCACCATTTCGGGGGCCATGTGCGTCTCAGTACCTTTCAGGTCTTTTTTCAATAAGATGGCCAACAGTGAGGAATAATGCGATAGATGTCATATTTTTTGGCGGTCCACCTCCGGACGGTCCTACCTCGAGACCCACTGAGACTCTGCCCGCCACTGTCCAATCTCTCGGCGTGGCCAAAGTCGCACAGGAAGGAGTCTCTGCCGTCCTCAGACAGCAACACGTTGTCGGCTGAGGGACAAAAGGAGGAAAAAAAAAAATTATGGAGCTTGGGTGACTTCCATGACTTATGCATACTTGAAGGGCTGTTTAATTGGAAACAGAGCAGCTGTACACGGCCAGAAAGAAAAGAGGAGGGGTGTGAAAAAAAGGGAGAGATGCAATACAAAACTACAAGTAAGAGCAGTTTTGGTGGCATTTCCTTTCAGTTCATCTACCTTTCTCTTACCTTTTTTTCTGCACCCCCCTTGTCTCAATTACTTCCTGCTCTTCATATCATCCCTCCCCCCCTTCTCTCTCTCTCTCTTTTTTTTTTTTTTGCCACCACGCATGCGCCTTGGCTTCCTAGCAGCGGCTGAGTCACGGGGGGAAATTCCCAAAACCCGCCGCTGCTTTCCTCACGCTCGGTCACAGGTGCTGTAAATCCATGTGAGACCAAACGTCTGGATGACAGCTAATTAAAGTCAGGGCAGGTCTTGTTGCAGTTCTCAAGCTACAGGATGGGCCATGTAGAGATTTTTTTAATGTTTCAGATACACGAGGTATCACAGGAACACAAAACCTAGCTAGATAGGCAGATAGATAGATAGATAGGTCGCTATCTAGCTAGACCTAGCTATCTAGCAAGCTAGCTCGATAGACAGATAGATGAGTCAGTTTGCTAGTTAGCAGTCTACTTCCTGGTTGATGGAGGCCATTTTGCTTCTTTGATTCCTGTCTCTACACCTTCATCTGAATTTTGACCAAAACATAATAGCATCATCTTTGAAGCTTCGTGGAAATTGTTTTAGGCCCGTGCCCCATCCATCCACAAAAGTGTATGTGGAATTAAATGTATAGAAATAAAATAACCACAAATACCTTTCACATCAAGATGCACCACTTTCTTCTTGGCCAGGTACTCAAGGGCTGTCGCGACTTGCAACAGGTAGTAGAGGCTCAGGTCCTCCGGCAGCCGCCCACGGCGTATAATCATTTGGCTGAGCGAGCCTGAACGGAAAGGGTGCCTTCTTGTTTACCGCTGTATATCACAGCATTATCGCGGGCAACGATAAAGAAGCGCTTGCCAGATTTGTGGTCCATGAGAAAGAAAACATAAGGCCCGTCTCGGACAACTCCGAAGAGCTCCAGGATGCGAGGAGATCGGAGGGCACTCCACGTGCTCGCCTCCTCGCTGTTGAACCTCTTCAGGGGGATCTAGAAGGAGGAAGGCGTTAAAGTAAAATCCAAGCTGGGCTATGAATTGCGGATTCGCTCGGTGTTACCTTTTTGACAGCAAACTTGAACCCGGTGTTGACATCTTGAGCGCTGTGGACTTCGCCGTAGGAGCCTTCCTTGATGAACTCTGACAGGACAAACTCCCTTCCTTCCTTATACTCTGATTCAACAGGCTGGATGTTCTGATGAGGGGAAAAGGCAAATGACATAGTTGTGATTAAAGCGGACATATTTAGGAAAACCGACATTGTTTCTGGAATAACACGAAATTATTGGTGGTACCTGTCCAATTTCTGTATCTTCTGCAGGTGTTGCGTTACAAACACACAGTGTAGCATATGAAGAGCCAATTTCCCCATGGCGGGGAATATGCTGCAACGTCGCTAGTCACTGTTTTAGCACTCGGACAAAGCCATGTCCAATATAAAAATATTGCTTTGGTGCCACCTGTTGGCATCTTGGTGTCAAGCGACTAGGTTGAACTAAGTGGAAGAGCTTCATTTTGTCAAGCAATAGCCTTGTCAAACAACAACAACAACAAAAATGCTTTGCTAGCATTTGAGGCATCTATAATCAATTACAAACCTTTCTGGGTGGCTGCTATTCACAGCAGGACTCGCCTACGATCATGAATAGTCAAGCGTAAGTATTTGATGGTTTACTGTATGCCTGCATGCCGTGGACATTTTATTAAGACACCTGGGAACTGTTTTTAATGAATACGTTAAAAAAAAAAAAAAGCACAATATGTCCCCCGCATAAATAACTCACTTCGTTGTAAAAAATGATCCCCTCATTGTCGACGGACTGCCACTTGTCTTCTTCCTCCTCTCCGGCGTTTCGCTCCACCTCTTTAAAGAAGGGCCCCGCGTAGCACGCGTCGCCCTGGCTGACGCTGCCTCGCAGGCCGGCGAGGGCCAGCGAGCAGTCGCCGGCGCTGCTGAGCGAGTCGCTGTCTGGTCCGTAGGAGCAGAGGCTACATAGAGTGCCCGGGAATGGCTCGGCCCAAGCCAGCGGGGAGCAGCCGGAGCCTGTGTTGTAGAGCTTAGTGCCATAGAGAGGAGGCACGACATCCTCTGCGCTCTCCACGCTGCTGCAGCACGAGGAACTGAGGCGGCTCCTTCCTGCGTGCAGCGAGTCCTCCTGCAAGAGCGAAAAGCATTGATGATTTCTTCAAATATTGATAGTGCACAATTGTTGTTATTGAACACAAACTGACAACTAGTGTCACTTTCCGTTGCTGCACTTGTTCCTCGTGGCCATTCGGTGCTTCCACTGGTATGAATCTATTAAAGCTTGTGGCCCATAGGCTAGCTAAAGCTAGCAACATGAGGCTAATCCTGATTCATGCCCATTTATCCAGTCCAGCATGCGCCAGTTGAATATTTTTCTTGCCAGATACGTTTTTTTCCCCTCCAGTCGAAAACAAACAAACAAAAAAAAAAATGCCCATTTGGGCTTTTTTGGCAACCGTGACAGAATGGGATACTGCCCATGCCGTATGGGCCACCGTTAATGTTGACGCCCGCTAACCCTGAATTGATTGATGAATTTAAGTGGTTAAAAGGTTCAACCAAGGACTCCCCCCCCCCCACCTCTTTGAACCATTGTGCTTACTTGGATGTGCTCCAGGGAACTCCCACTCTCCTGTTCAGGCACTCCAGAGGGCACCGCAGTATCTGTGTGGTATCTGCTCGGTTGCCGCTCCTCTTCTTTCTTGTTCTTCCCCAAAGGAACTTTTTTCCGGCCTTTGCGCTTCACTCTTTTTCGGGGCTTCTTTCTGGGGCCGAGTGGCGTTGGCGCTTGGACGGAGGCCGTGGTCGGGCAAGCCACATTGTTGTGCTCCGGCTGCAGACTGAAGCAAAAGTATGCATTCAAACAATGCCAACTCCATTTTGGTATGAATTTTTTTTTTTTTGAAGCGCGAATGATACCTGACGATAAAACAGCCAGATGAGGGGACGTAGGAACGCTCAAAACAGGACGGACTAAATTCCTGTGAGTCCTGAGTTTCACCTAGAGGACGGCGGCATGTTAGATGATGAGAGTGTTGATTGTTTTGATGTTACGGAATCGTCATAATTACATTCGGCCTGTGCAATGAAAGGGGAGCTCTTCAGCGATGTCTCTCCGACTTGCTCGGCAGTGCCCTGAGTCAGCACTTTGTTCAACAGGGGACTCAAACGAGCGATGTAGTCCACTTTGCTGCTCTTCCACTGCTCTTCGTCCTCCTCTTCTTCCCCTTGCTGCTGCTGTTGCTGTTTGTGGTGCTGCTGGGTTCCTTTCTCCCCAGCTTTGCATTTGGGGTACGAGGCCTTAAGGTCGGCCAGCGGCGACCCCGAGAACGGGGAGGTGGAGTTTAAGATCCTCTGGCTCACTGCCATGCCTGCTGAGGTGAGACTTTGAAAGAAAAAAAAACAGTGCAGTTATCATGGCATTATAATTTAACGTTTTGTGGCAAGTGAAATTAAGCAAACATCATAAATCAGATCGCAAAAACAATCCCATCACGTATGTTGCTTTTTTCATTTCAACTTTTCACGTTCCATAAAACAACGATATGAAAACATGTGGATAGTTTGGATAGTCCACACTGCAATGCTCATTTGATTTCAAATAATTGTTTAGCCCTACTTCAAACCAACCAAATCTAAATACATTTGCATCACTGGCCGCATTTTCAAAAACATCTGAGTCACCCGAATGGCTTTTTGCTTGTGATTTCTTGATCACAACGACCACATTTGAAATCCATTCTCTCTTTCTGCTCTTGGCAATGGAACAACAAACACTTCATCTTGTTTACACATAGCTTTCTGTTCATTTCATCGCAACGACCACAGAGTAATGTTATTACTCTGTAACAACAGACACTTTGTGGAAAGGCTTCAAGTTGGCTTTCATTCTCGATGTACTCCTTGAGGAGCCAAACGTCCAATGAAAATGTGTTTCATTTCATCATATCTGCACTTCCTCTTGAGACCAAACCTCCGATCCATATTTACTTTGTATTGAAGACAAATCAAGGCGAAACCCGATGGCTGTTACTTTGTCTTACGGGTTGCCACTTTTGGATGAATTGAGCTGACAAACAATTGAAAAGAAATGCACTTTTCAGTCTGAAAACTAGTGTTGCAAAATTAGCCATTAAAAACTACGACGACGACATATTTCGACGCAAAACATGAATTCAATTGACTTGATGATCACAGAACGCCGCAATTCCATTTCCACACATCCTCGCTTGTATGCCCGCTTACAAAACATTAAAACGGGCAACATACGAGGTCAGCCGCGAAAGCATACATTTACCTTCCAGCCACTAAATGTGCAATCACAGTCATTCTCCTGCCCTGAGAACTAAAACCCAATATCTCTGATGACATTTACAATGCGTGCTGACTTGACTCAGCTACACTGACATTTCCAGGACAGGAAGCAGCAAGAAAAAAAAAAAAAAAGTCCAATGTCCAACTGCAGAAGAGCATTCAAAACCACAACAATGACCATTTCTAGGGGGATTGTATGTAATCATTCTCTTCTTTATAGAACTACTGATTAAGGTAACGAAACCAAATGTTTTTGTTTTTTTTGGCGGGTAGAGATGACACAGGAAACTCAGTCGGGCCTGCGGAGCAGAGTTGGGTTGTCGAATAACTCAAGCGAGCACTGGTTTCAGTTAGGGGAATTGTATGACACTTTATACACTAACAATGAACAAGTATGTCTCGGCGTGTTGTAACGCAACACGCCGAGCCATGAGTGCACGCACTGTAAGCATCGAGGTCGCTTCTCCGGAGCCAGCTATCAGCGAGAGCACAACCGGGGGAAGGACGTCAGCATGCGGAAACATTTTACATTTCATAGCAGTCGCTCGAGTGAGGTCATTACCTTCTGGCTCTGCAAGAACAAAGCGATCCCAATGTCGCTTCCTTTCGAAGGCACACCCGAACCGGTGGAAAGAAGGAAGACGGCGAGTTTCCAAGCAAAAACGATCAACCGGGAAAAAAAACCCTTCGAGAGAAAGTGTCCCTGACCTGACGTATCCCTCTACGTGCGTGCAAACAGCAATATAGGTGCAAGCGGCTCCTGTCCTTTTTTTTTTTTTTTGCTCTTGACACTCACTGTACCGCTGCTGCTGCTGCTCCTTTGGTAGGAGGAGTCTGCTGGTGACTGAGGGGAAATGCCACAACCTACTTGCACACTCAGCGGCTGTTCCGTGAAAATAAAAAAATAAATAAAAATGTCAGGGACTGACAATAGCTAAGTTGGATCCACTTGGATCATCAATAATTAATTAATAAATCAATTAATCAATCAATCAGTGTATATGAAGGACACATTATGCATGGAAAAAAAAAATCAAGACTATGTCCTCGGTCTCTTTGGGTGCGATACAAGGTATCCTGGATTAGGCCTTTTAAAGTTGGATTTTTAATATGGATTTTTTTTTGTTGAGGCAAAAATAAAGTTCTGAAAGTCAATAAATTGTCAGATAGAAAAATATATATCATAGACACAATAACTTCTATTTTGGTCCCTTCGCTGTTACAAAAATAAAGATGTGAATTACAGGCACAACATTTGGCTGTTCTACAATACATATGTTTCGTATGTCTGGGTCACTTTACATTATCATATATGACTGTTGAAGATGTGAAAACCCAACGTATATTTATTTACGGCGATTGATGTTAAGTTTTTGCAGCAAAAATGTGAATATTGTAAGCTAATCAATTAATGTTTGCGGTAAAACTGGCCAGCCGATTCATTGGTCAGGTGCTAGTTTCAAGTAATAGTCACCATTTAAATGAGCAATTTTATTTTGTAATCGAAAAATGAAAAAAAAACATCGTCCTTTATGCGCCGTTGTTTTGAACATCTTTTTATTGCCCTTCCGGGAAACCATATCTAAAAGAGAAAAGATAGTAACATCATGCATTTTAGAGGCGGCCCCAGCAACAAATGCACCTGCACTGTCCTACAAAATCCAACATTTGACTCGTACTACACTCACAATAGTTAATATATTGTTAACTGATTCCTCCTCCATTATGAATGTACTCTTGAGTTCAACTCCGCATGGTGACAGCGGCTATCTTGAGCTAACTTGTGGCGCATACACACACCCACGCAGATTAATGAAATTCCAAAGGCTTTAGTAAGAGTAGTGAAAAGGGGGCTCGACTTACAGACACACAAACACAGGACGCTTGGCAACGCTTGTAAAAATTTGGCCACTTGACTTATGGTGAAAAATGATTGGTAATAATTATACAACAACATGCAACGTTGACTGTCTCGTATGCATTGCTTGTTTGCAGCAGACAAAAGTTCTATGGTCGAATATGGAGTCTCTCAACAATGTTCTTTTTGGGTCAATATCACTGCTTTTGGTGTGCTTTGCAGAATCACTCAGTCATCATGAAAATATAGAATGAAACTCTGATGTCTTGTGATGAGAATATATTACTATCCTGCTCTGCTAACTACTGTATGTAAATCGATCGTGTACATTCTATTTTCAGTATCATATTAAGCATTTTTCAGGTATCCCTGAAATTTCTCGTCACCCTGTAATTATGGGATAACCGCCTCTTTGGAATATCCTATCATGTATTCAGTGACATGACAACCATCTTTTTGTCTTTCTTTAATTGACGGTGATACAGGTGAGATGGTTTGTGTTTTTATCAAATCTATTGTACTTTATAGTGTGTGATTGGTGTTGGCAACTGCACTCATTCATAAGCAATCACTGGTGTTTAGATGTTACAACAAAACATAGTTTTATTGGCTTCGTCGTGTCATTTTGAAACATTTTCCCTGCAATTAGACTACTGACACCAAGACTTAGGCTATTTTACCAGTTTTACAGTAAAGAAAACTCATTTTTCTGCACTTTCTTTCCAGTTCAACACAGTTTAACGTGTCAATTCTGTTTTGAAAGTATATATTGAGGGAACATGGGAAATTCGTAGCTAGATCATTTAATGCATGCGAAGGTAAAAACAAGATGGATTTTTGGCGAGAGTTTGAGTAACCAGAAACCGCAAAATTTAACATGCGGGCTTCAACTTTTTTTTTTTTTTTTTTGCTAAGCAGAAAAATGTGTAGGCAATTTATTACGACATTTGTCAAATACCTCCTTTAGTTTCCAACGAGTGTTTATTCGTTCATTTACTGCTGACATTTCTTTTGTGTCACATAAACTTTAAGAAAAAGAAGAAAAGGTCCTCATCAGACCGGAAATGGACAGAAAATAAGTTTATCTTGCGCAAAATATTGACATCGCGAAGACTACGGATAAAAGAGACAATAGTCAGAGGCACACAAACGCCTTAAAGTAAAATAGGGATGATATTTGTTTACTTACCTAGCGTCTTATTAGCAGTAGGCGTTGGTCGTTTGTTGCGACGGAAAAGTAAGTTTGAGTGAATTCGTGTTTTTTCCTGGTTGATTCATTTTTTTCAAAGTAACCGTCACACTCATATTTTTGCCATAACAGCAACACAAGTTGTACAACAATTTAAAGTTTATAAATAGTCAATTGCTTATTTCACTTTTTATCTTCATTAGGTTCGAGTGTCATGACACTCTTTGTCCTTTTACAAATGCGGCGATTCTTTTAATTTGAAGTAAAAATTGGTGTCCAAATATCCTGTATGAGGTGGCGCGTTTAACAAAAACTTGATGGAGACCGCAGAGTTCTGCTGTCTTGAAGTCCAAGGCGGAAGTATTTTTTCCTTTATTTATTTACTTCACCAATTATTTTTTATTCGTAACCCACCTAATTACCCGAATTCTTAATTTCGGCCCGTCTCACACTTTTAACTAACGATTAAACAAATACCTCAAAATCATTTACTGGTATTTGCTCACGCCGTACTGTAAAAGTTGGGGTATGTTCAACGTTTTATTTACTGATTCAGTGGTCTTTTGTTTCGTGTCCATTACTTTGATATATTAAAATCAAAGACAACATTCTCATTTTATTACTCTAATTAAACACCGAACCTATACTGGATTGAAAACAAAAATAGCCTAAATAAAAAGTTACCACTAGATGGCGACATAATAGTCTTGTGTCAACTAGTATCCCAGTGACCATTAACAGACCTGAGCTACATAGTTTTTTTTAACTCAGTACACTTTAGGAAATACTTGTATATACATGGAATAAGGTTGTATTTCTAACCTTCTAGTTTTAGAGGTAACATGTTTAGTAATAACGCCCCTCTCAATTTGCTTAGCTTTTTGCGAGCTAAAGGCTAATTGGTAGCTAATACAGTAGTCTACCGAATGCGCAACACCACGGTGCGTTCCGCCGGGGGACACACACGGCCAGCAAAGAGAAGCTGCTGTGTTTAGAAAATGGCCGACAGATTTTCTCGTTTCAACGAGGATCGTGATTTCCAGGTAAAACGCCACTCGTGTCTTCCTTATTTTGTTTTTGTGCGTCCTCTGTGATGTCTCGGGATACACATAAACGTGCCCGAACACTGACAGCTGATTCGTTTCTGCATCCGTTTGAGTCGTTAGCATTCGCGGCTAGCCAGGCTAACGGCAGTGCACTGCGGCTCTTGTCAAATTTCCCCGTCCCCCCTTTCGATGTTTCGGCGTTTTCTAAATTAACATCCAGATCATTTTTTTCTGACCCGTAACACTCATCTGCCTCTGCAGCAGCAACTCCGCTGACAAACCATGCAGCGATACATTCAATAATTGACACCGAATTGCTCTTTAATGACCTTGACAAGCATGGATGTTTATCGACATATGCTAACAAGGCATGGCTAGTCAGCAAGCACGTCGCTAACAAGTGCGTTGATTGTGTTTTCGCGTTCACATTACTATGCAATGACAGTGATATTGGTATTCGGCAAACGTCTATGGTCTGCACTTCGTAGTTGACTTCACCCAGCTGACTGTTGTTGATTGAAATACTAAATTAACTGACGGTAGCATGATCTAAAGCACAAATATGATTGATTGTATGTCTTGATGCAGTTCAATCAGTCTAAGCGCAATGGTAGCAACATGCTGTAAATGTCAACGAAGCGAATTGTTACACCTGCACGACACTCTTTGTGCTGTGCAAGTTGTAAATGAACCTGCTCTTCGTCGTTATTACAGCCTGCTTTTGAGAAATTGATCCATGATTCTGTTATCTGCTCTGCGTCTCCACCCGATCATCCAAAACACTGCATTTTGTGCTTGTCAGTGTTTAACCCTAAATTGTACATTTAATTAGTTGACATAGCATTTTATAATTTAACGAGGTCTGTGTTGTATAGTAGTCTATTTTACATTAGCGTGGTGTTTTCAGACTATTTTGATCAAATTTAAGGAAAAAAGGGAATTATAAACTTGCATTAATACAGACAATATATTACTATCTTGCTCCAGAGCATGCATTCCACCCTATTACCCGTTTAGGTGATTGGGTAAGGATTCCAATTAGGTTAATTTGTTGACATTGCTTCCCCAGTTTACGTCCACCTCCTAATGGGAAGTTTATGGGAGAAATGCAATCTGAATGTGTCTGTTGAGTAGCGTCCCGGTTCTGCACAATGTCACTGTCAGTATTCGGACTGGTTCAACCAAGGAGAGATGCCCATTTCCAAGCGACTGTGCGCCGGAAGCATCCGCGGATATTGCTGCAAACTGCACACACTATTGACCTGCATTGTGCTTTACCCAGGCGGCTTATCTGAAGCGCTGGAAACACACAGCTCTGTTATTTTAGGTGTAGAGCACACACAGAGCTGGTTGAAACTCTATCGCTTCCTTTCTAGTGGAGGACATTCGAATACTTTTTTTTTTGATTGACAAATCAGGCAAAGTCAAAATTGTATTATGTCGTAAGTACTGCTGCGACAATCAATTGATTCAATTCAAAAGAAAGGTTTGAAAAAAATCTCAGCCTTGAACCTTCGCAGGGATCGTTTTTCCACATGGACCACTGTTAATGCAGTTGTAAAACCGCTGCGTTTCGAAGAAAAAAAAAAAAGATGGAGTAATGCACAGTGCTCCAGAGTCTGGAGAGTAAAAATATGCCGCGGATTAGCGGTGCATTACAAGCACACGCAGTGGTCTGATGGCAAAGTCACTCGCAGGAGAGTTATAGCGTGTGTGGGTGAGAAATCGATTTGCGCTTCTCCGGCATCTCTGCTCAACATAATCCCTCCCTCGCTGGCTTCACCAGTGCTGATGCAGGCTCCTGTTTTAATCTGAATTAGTGGCCAACATAGCATCAAATCACCTCATTGTGGGCTGGTAGATTGTGCTAGCGAAATCACATTCTCTGGCCCAGCAGTGTTAACCTCAGCAATTCCAAAACTGAACTGAAGTATGTGAGAATATAGCAAGATATTGTGATGGTTTAGTAGGGCTTCGCGACATGGCCTCAATTAACATCTTTAATTTTTTAAAAAAATATGTCTTGGAAATCAGGTTTCCGATAGTAATCAGTTTTCCCCTTTGCTTAAAAAAACCCTAAATGACAATCAACTTTCACCAACATAATAGAAATAAATATTTCGTTACAGGTAAACGGAAAAAATACGTCCTCTTGGAATCATGTCTCTTGTCAAATTCTGTCTGTATAGGAGAGGCAAGGCGATTTTGTTCAATTTGTGGCTTCCTTGCACATACCTCAGGTCAATCACTGTTTTTCCAACATATCAATGTCTTTGTCAATGTTCACTGCCATTACTGTCTGCCGTGCAAAGGGAGGACTATTTTGAATTCTTTGCATTTACTGCTCACGTGAAGGTTGGCGGACTTGACGAGATGCAACCTTCGCCTGTCCTCCGCAGCCCTAGACAGGAAGCCATCTGCCCGCCGCACAAACACTCCTTATTTGGAATAAACCGGCTCATAAATTAATAGTCCGCTGCTTTGCGGGTGTATAGCTCCTCGCCCCCATGCAGGATGAGTGGACATGGCATTCATGTGTACGCTTTTCATCTTGGCAATACATTCTATTTTTGTTTGAAGTCGAGACAGACGATATCACATTTACACAAAATGTTCTGCAATTGCGGACAGTAAAGAAAAGAACGTTTCATGTATGTGAAATGGGCTTTTTAAATGTGTGTCTCTTAGGGCGGGAATCACTTTGACCAGTATGAAGATGGCCAAGTGGAGCTGGAGCAGGCATCCCTGGACAAGCCCATTGAATCGGTAAGGCCGCATCCCGTCGTCCCGCACCATTGGACCAGCTGTGAGAGTGGGTGATTGGTCCAGGCAGGGATTTTTGTTTTGTGTCAACGTTAAGCGTCCTCTTGACTCTCTTTAACCAATAGAAACGCGCATCTCGTGTCCCATTAATACCTCTCAAAGCCCCCCTAGCCCCTGTGTCGTCTGCTATCCATTTCCTGTGTGATGTTTAAGTTGATGGGATACATGCTAGGTAGATGTTTGGTTTGAGTTGAAAATAACGTCATCATTAGCTTTTGTTAGACTATGCGATGAGTAAAAGAATGGAGTGGACAAAGCACTGAGAGGAGCACCTCAATATGCTTCACACAAGCAAAAACAACACCTACAAGCGTTGAGCAGTGAAAACAAAAGTATCTCTCAAAAATTACGGGAACGTATATTGACAATATTGAACCACATGAACAGCAAACTAAAAATATTTAAAAGTCATGAAATAAGAGTAGGTTTTTGAAACGCATAAAAGAAAACAATGATTTAAAAATGTTGAGAAAACCTTCAAGATATGGGGGGGCGGGGTAGCAACATTTTTAACCTGGATTTAAACGCATTTAGACTCGGGGCTAGAAGGAATTTTGGCAGTCCCAATTGGCCAAGACCAGGACCAGAAGACACCTGTGTGTCTTCTGGTTTAAACATTATATCTTGATTTATTAATCCCCAACCCAGTCCAAATCGTCGAGCAGTGCTTACTCCACTCCTCAAACAACAAAACACGTATTCGATGATGTGAATGGCTGCGTGCGTGCGTGTGCGTGCGTGTGTGTGTGTGTGAGACCGTAGTTTAGAATTTGTTTGTGTTTGTAGGACAGTTATCTTATTGTACACAACTTGGGGTGTTCGACATTTCTCTCCTGCAGCGAATTGGCTCCCCAATTAGCTAAGCAGCAATGACCCGGTTTGTATTTGCACGCTCTGCTTTCTTACTCCTGTCTCTAGGGTCCTTGTAACGCTTTTCTTGACTGTTGTTGTCTCTCTCTTTCTCGCTCTGACTCACCACTGTTACACTCTCAATCTCTTCTCTCTATCTCTGTCTGAATTTCTGTCTCGCTCCCTCCCTACTACACAGTGATTCGGTGTACAGTACCCTCTGTCATTCTGTGCTGGCATGGTGCTTGTGCAACTGGGACTGCATTTTCTTCTTTATTTTTTTGGCTAAGAGGCACGTAAAGAATAGCGCAGGCAGCTGTCTATTTTTTTACTGTCTCCCGTCCTCTCTGTCCCCTCTTCAAGTGGTCTCTGAAGCCTCGAGTTAAGCAGGCCCCAAGCCGTTCTTTGCCTCCTTGCAGTCGAGCCAGACCTCTTCCTCCCTGAACCAGTCAGACCGGAACAACAGCCAGCACCAGATCTGAAACAATTGCAATCTGTACGCTGTTACGCACCACAAGTAAAGCTGCAACGAAAATGGCTCTTTCTGTTTGACACCTATTCCCGCATGGAGCGAGTCATCCACAACTGTGTGGGTGGCGGAGAAATACAAAAGGACGAGAGGTGGCCTGCTTACCTGGTTTGAGTGGCTCTTCTGCTCCTGCGCTATTATTTATGACTGGAGGGTGGGGGGGAGACACACACCGAGAGCTGAGCTGCAGTTGCCAACCATGCAACGTTGTTCGAGTAAAAAGTGGTCAAATGATCAAATGCAGATTTATGTGTTCAGTGGTACCTTGATTTCTGAGGAATGTAAATAAATTGGTTTTTAAAAAGTGTCATGACTGCACGTTCGGATAAGCCAGAAGCCACGGCAACTGCGCCCGAGCTGTGTGCCCATTAGAGGGCGGGGCCATCAGAAACGTGTCTGTGTGAGCTCCTAGACGTGAGTTTTGGGCTACTGTAGCTGATTGTCTCGTCGCCGTCAAACTTTAAAACACGTTCAACTTTTTACAACCGTTAAAATCTGGCAAACGCCTTTGGAACCTTGAACGTACCCGGACGAAATGACAACATTGCGCAAACACTCGCCAACCTTCACCTCTTGGTGAGGGACGCGCTTTAATAAAGGCTTTGAATACATCAATCCAAAAAAACAAGGCTTTAATTGACGTTAAAATGTCTGTAAAAAGCGAACATGTGATCATACAATTTTATGATGATCAATTATACGCTCAAATCTGCAAATAAGTGAACATTCCTTCGAAAATAATGTACCATATGACTCTTGCGCAACCAACAAATCGTCAATGTGGTTTTAGTTGACACTGACACGTCATTTATGAACAGTACCGTAACAAAGATGGACCATTAAATAAAGTGTAACTTCAAATGGAATTAAAAAGTCTTGCGTTTAATCCGTCGGAACCCTGTCAAGGTACCACTGCACTTCGCAGAGCCCGATCATGACCGATGGTCTCACAAGCTCGTCTTATCTTTCAGTGAATGCTTCAGCGTGGCATCTCGGAGCCCCCCTCCCCTCAACCTCTTGTTGTATGTCATTCATAGGCAGCTAGAGGTCTGTGGTACTTGACTGGGATCTTTGACTGGTGTCTTTACCCCTCTCTCTCTCTCTCTCTAACAATGGTTTTGCATTGCATGCGTGGTAATATTCAGTACGACACCTCCGATTGTCGTCTTCACCCCCCTCCGCCACCCTCTCCTTTTTTACTTCCCCCCTCGATCATCCACCCCCACCCTTGTCTTACCCGACCCCCCCACCCCGACCGATATGCAGTGGGCACCCTCGGAGCCATAAAATGCACATCTGTACGCCAATCACTTAGACGGACCCCCCCGCCAATGATTTTTAGTGGAAACCAGATGAAGGGAATTTCTTTTCCCAATCAACCGCACGAGTTACCACTGACTTCCTTTACTAGTCCCTCACGTACCTTTTAAAGGCATTTTACTCGGCTGCAAACATCAGAATGGAGAGGTAAGTATCCTGCCTGTATGTTATGAACTGTTCTTAGAATCGAACATGTAACTCTGATTCACTTGAGTCACAACGGTCCACCTTTCAGAATGGACCGTTGCACAAGCGCCACCCTGCGCCGCTGGTGCTCGACAAGTTGTGAAATGTGGCCCGTCAGCGCACATGCTAAATTTGCCAACGCATAGACTACTTTATAGTCATCTCAGAACTTGACAAATGATTTTAGCGATGCCATTTATATTTCTCAGCCAAAATGATATCCACTAAATCCCCCCCGATTGTTGGATCGACCGACTCCGTTAGTACTCTGAGGTCTCTAGGTGGGCTCCGCTGCATATCTCTTCCCACGGCCATATCTTTGCAAGGCACTGTGTCGGTAACAGCGCAGTGCACACAATCTCCAAAACCCGCCCCACCCAGTTTGTAGAGGACTTTTGTTTGGATAACATTTTCTGCTTTTCTTTTCTCCTGTATTAACAGTTGGATTTTTGGGGGGTGATTTTTTATTTTATTTTTTTTGACATGCCTACCTTTTCTGTTTGTATACAGTATTGATTTTATTTATTTATTTTTTATGTTAGCAGAGAGAAGCAGTTTTAGATTTTATTTTTTTTTTAAAGTAGTAGACAAAGTTAGCAGAATTAAAGTTGAAAGCGTTTGGCTGGATTCTTACGTTGTGTCACGTGTGACTGTTTTTTTGACAGCCCAGTATTTTAAAGCCAGGTTCGTATGGAAATGCCTTCACTCCACTTGCACTGCTGTTGGACTCGCCGTCTTTTGCTTCCATCCGTCCGTCCTTCCGTCTGTCCGTCCATTCTTTTGGTGCACTCATATCTGTCGCTCCGACACGCCGCCGGCACCTCATCTCTGCCGCCAGTCACAAATCTCGCCCTAACCAGCCCTTCCCCTTTTTAAATATAGACGGAAGGAAACAAGGTTTGTGCAACCACATTGAAAGAATTTGCAGCATTGTCTTATTTTAATCGGGCCATTTGCTCGGGGAGCTTCTTATTAGACCGGCTTCTCTGAGCCTCTGCCCTAAATCAACAAAGATGCTATTGTAGCATAATCTGGCAGTATAGGACTGAGAGAGGCCAATAGGGTGGGGTGAAACATCCTCTGCACCATACTCTGCAATGTCCCCCGAACACACACAATGAAATCAGCGAACCAGGCTAAGAGGGAGGAAATGCTTCAGAATCCTCACGTTAGCCGGGTAGTTATGCACAATCATAGCTTTTTGAAATGGCCTTAAATTTGAAGTGCGTTTCCATGAAGTGGTGTAAGTTGGTTCGGGGTTGGCTTGGTACTGTTTGGAACTCATCTATCGCGACGAGGAGTAGTCTTGCGTGGTAACATTAAATCTGTAAAATAATCAACTGCCCGAAACGAATGCATTTGTGTTCTTGCTGTTATTTCCCTAACGTTACATGTTCGGCGCTATACATGTTGTCAGTCTCGGGCAGAATCCTCGCATCGTTTTAAGTATTTGAATCCTATTAACATCAACACAAAACCACACCAAACTCAGGCTCAATTGGTCATTTAATAAACTAAAAAAATGGCATATTCATCGACTCAGTAAACTGCGCTCGCGCCAACCTCCTGACCAGACAAAAAAGCCTTTGATATTTAACAAAAGCAAATGAGCGTGGTTCCATCATCTTCGTCAACTCCCTTTCAAAATTCTGAGAGCCGTCAATGATGCGATACAAAAAAAAAAGGCGAGCTGAAAAAAGGTTGTCTCCTAGGCAAAAATAAATCTGCACGCAAGCTTACCTTTCGTTGCTTGTGCTTCCTTCTGCGCAAAGCTTCACAGGTATTTATTTTGAACAAAACTGACTGACTGATTACTTTTTACTCGTTGGTCTAAATAACAACCAGTCTTTTTGGCTTTGAGACAACGTTTTGCTGCCTGGCTCCCGTAGTGTGTGAATCATGATCCTCGCACTTCGAGAGACCAACTAAGCTCCACGTGAGCAAGCACTTGGCAACGAAAATTCTCTCTCAAGGAAAAATCTCAAAGCGACCCGGTGTGGGGTGGCCGCCGTCTGCCTCGACAGATTGCAGTTACCTCCATCGCTACTGTGTTGTACCACAACACCCACCATAAGGTTGCCTAAAAGCGGTCTGCTGTGACGCATTCGTATTTTGCCACTTTTCAAACCACCTGACGATGGAGCTGTACCGTAACCGTACCACTTGGTGGAAACATGGCTCTCAACTTCAACATCATAATCACACTTTTGACATGGAAAGTGGCCTCTTTGGGTTTGTTCGGGCCCACCCGAGCGATGCTTGCAGAATTGTTGAATCGGAAGCGGTTGGCATTGAAGAAGCCGTCCCAAACGAGGACTTTGTTTGGCTGAGATGCTGTGCATGCTGCGTGTAACCGCCACTCCCCTTCACATGCACTAACCCACCCATACTTGTTTATCTTTCACGTCCCCCGACCCAAAACGCTTCCGTCCGCCATGGCTCAGCCTGCTCTCTACTGCCCCCTGTACATCTCATCTATTTTTTAAGTAAAGAAAAAAAAAAAAACACCAAAAAAGGGCCCCGTTGAGCCATCACCACCTTCTCTGTGCCTGATCCACCTGAGACTAACTCACTTTGGTGGCGTTAACACGCTCCCTCCACTCCCGCCTCCTCAGATGTATGTGCACCTTTGGTAGTGTGCTACTAATACCCAAGATGCTTTTTGTTAAAGCCATTGTAACAAAAAGCTGCATGCAGGTTTTTTTTTTCTTTTGTTCCAACCCCCTTCACCTTCCGTTTTCGTGAACATTGATGTCAATCTCTTTGTGATTATAAATATCCTTCATCTTTGGTTTGTATGTTTTGCTTATTTTTTTTGTTAGAATGCAACACTGAATGTCAGACTAGCCCGGAATAGTTATAATCACAATAGAACAACAACACTTTTTACCAAGACATTTTCAGTGTCATGTTTATTTGTGCTTGAGGTTGTACTGTAGTGTTGGGGACAGTATTGCATTTCACTTAATGTTTTCAGGTTGTTTTTTTTTTTTTTCCTTGCCGACCCATACTAGTGACATAACCGTCTCGGGAGACTTGCACATTTCACCCCAGAAGTTTGGAAGGAATTCCTGTTGCGCATGTTCATTCGCTCCTGTTTGCGATTCATCTTCACTGGGTGGATTTTGGCAATAATATGCAACAATCCAGAACGATTAGACTTCAAAATGAGATGGATGGCCTCTTTGCGATTGGTGTGGGAGGGGGGGTGAAAAAAAATATTGTTATGAAATTAGACATCAAGCCAGGCTAACCGAATACCCTCAAATAGTGAGCTCCCACTTCAACATGTAGAGAAAGAAATAGCGTTGGAAATCATGATAATTCTTAGCTCTTGTCCTCGTTCGCGTTGCAGGTGACTGCAGCCTGCCCCAGCTGACTTCAGGCCAGTCAATCAAAAAGTAATTTTTAACAGGAGAGTCCTCCAACGAATAATGACCTTGTCCCTTGCTCGTGACTGTAGTGCAAAACTGGGTAAATGCACGAATTTGCAACCTGCATCGAAGGTCATTTAGTCCAGTTCAGTGGGCTCTTTCATCTTTATAATACCAATTTCTATTTCCAAGAAGAAGAATAACTAAAATACAAATAGAACATGCACAATGGCAATTTCCGATTTGTTTTCAGTGGTGCTATTTTTTTTGCATACCTCATCTCCCTCGTTTTGGCCTGCGCATATTCCCTTCACGCGTGCGCATTCTGTCCACCCCCCCGGGCCTTGTAATGGTAATCCAAGGCCCCGCTAGCATCACTCCTGTCTCTACCTCTTGCTTTTTTTTCTTTTGTGTGTTTTATTTGTGACAGCTCCGTGTTTCATGGTGCTCCCCTTCCGCCACCCCCACCTCCTGTCATGGTTACAGAATCACAGCAAGCTTGGAGTTTCTGGTCGTCATTTTGTTAATGCAAGATTTCCATACTTGTTCTGTGTCACTTTTTCTTTGTTGACTAAGATCTTGCTCTGTAGTGGTTCATATCTATCTGTGTGCGCTTGTTTGTGTGATGCATATATTGCCCTTCTTCCTCCTTCCCCTTCCAACTTTTCGTGATCGATGTCATGGCCTTCAAATGGATGTTCACACACTCCCACGTTAGGATTTATTGTAGTGTACAGACTACACATAGCCTCATTTAACGATGGGGGGGAAAACAAAAAAAAAACAACAGCGCCCCCTCAGTCTCCCCACCACACTTGTGATGGAAGACACTGACGTACACTTTGTAGTTGACGTGGATGACGTTAATGATGACGATGGTGGTGGTGGTGGCTGTGCTGATGATTGCGTGAGCCGAGTGCTTTGTTGTTGTGTGAAGCGGGACTCCACGGCGGGAAAAGCGCCTCTTATTATTGGAATGTTTCTGGTTTCTCTCCTCTCTCCTGTCTGCTAGGACAACATCGGGCACCGGCTGCTACAGAAACATGGCTGGAAGTTGGGCCAGGGCCTGGGCAAAACCATGCAGGGTAAGCGCTCGCTCATCCACGCACAGCCTTACGACCAACGTACACTGGTGCCATTCGCCAGTTCTCTCCGTTCACGTTTCCAGGGTCCATCTTGGCCAACTGGCCTCACTTTGTTGCTGTCCTTCTGCTTCCTCTCAAACTTAACATGGGAGGAAAATATTTTTGGAGCTGAATAAAGAAGGGGGTACGGGAGGCGATTCTTGCGATTGGGAAGTGCATTTGATTTACAGACATTCGGTTGCCTCGAGTAAAATTCACGCCGGAGTGTTTTCAAGGATTTCGATTGTTAGCCTTCACTTCATGAAGTTGCCTTGAGGTCAGTCGGCTCTCCTCTGCAGAATTTAGAGTCTCTGTTCCGATATCATGAAATGTCCTGAACATGTGAATTTTCAATTAGATTGCTTTTGGTGTCTTGTCTGATCCAGTTCAGCACATGGATCAGAGGTCAAGAAATTGTGCCTAAGAGCCAGACTGGCTGTGGGTGAGCCATAGCGGGCTAGATCGTCATGGCGTTAGCGCAGCGGTGCTCTGCTCTTTGGCTCCGAGTGTGTTTGCTGAGCCCTAGTGTGTCATCTAAAACGCCCAGACACTTCCTATACTACTGGTAGTTGCTTTTTTTTTTCCTCCACCCTTTCTTTTAACCTAAACTTTTGACTTTATAGTTTGCTTTATGCACTCAGTCTTTGCAGTGTACACAAAGCGCAGCTTGAGTTTCCGTATAATGTTCGGCATTTAAACTCCACAATGCTGCCATCTATACCGGCAGTTTCATCTCTCTCCCCCTCACAGTGTCTTATGTCTGACGAAAAGGGCGATTGATGTACATTGCTGACTCACATTTGGACACTTCATTGCGTTAAGCCAGCGGATATGAAGATTGCTTGTTGCAGCTGTCTTGGAAGCCAACACCTCTGATTCAATTTCATAAACATACGTCATACATCAACCGGAATATCATTTGACATGTCATCGCGGTTGCGTTCTGCACAGGCCAACAAGGAAGCACGAAAGCCCACTAAGCCGAATAAGTACTGTAGGTAGAGCCATCAAAGACTTTAATTAAAATATATGCACGTAATAAAGGAATCGAAGTTGTATTATTTTGTATGAAATATAATGTGAGGTCATGGTTATCTGTGGACATCATCGTAAATTAATAGTACCTGAAAAAAACACACACACACAAAATTGGACAGGCCGATTAATCAGTCGGACCCAAAACAAGAAGTCATTGGCGGGCTTGGCGTAGCTGAAATTTGTCGGTGTGGCCTTGAGAAGGCGCCGCGATATTCTATGGAACACGATAAGGATGTTTGCTTTGTGCGGAGGAGAGAGCGCAAGTTGCAGAGGGCCGGCCCCGGGCGCCGCCGCTGACGTGCGCTTACGTAAGCTTTCCTGCTTTGTGTGCAGATGTCTCTGCGGCAAAGTGCCGTCCACTCAGACAAATCGGGGGGTTTGTCCTCCTGCTGGATGCATTGACTTGCAACACAGCAGTTGTGACTTGTTGAAGCGCCATGGTTTTAATCCTCTTTTGTCAACGGGGGTTTGCATTTTCAAGTGAAAAGCATTGTCCCCTTTTTAAGTTTTCCACTGTAATTGACTGTGTTCTTATTCTTCTTTTGTCCCTTTTTTGTCCCTTTTTAGGTAAGGTTTGTTGGATCCCTTCTGTATGTCAGTATGCGAGCGTGCGTGCGTGCTTGTGTGTGTGGGTGTGTGTTTTCTTTCTCCCACTCGGCAGTTCACCTCAGTGTAACCCCCCTTTATTTTATTTTTTTTACAGTATACTGTAGGCTATTGGCCTCTGTAAGCTTCCATCTCTCTGCTTCATAATCACTAAACCTTTATCCGAATCCACCCCCCCGATGTGAAGCGCTTTGATTTGAGCAAAAAACAGCAGTTCATTGAAATCAATGTAGACGTAAGAAGCCGTGATTCCATCACACCCCCAAGAATCATTATTTATCGCTAGCTCGTTCCTTCCCCCTCCCTCTCTTTGTTTCGGCGGCTGCTACGGGGAATCTGATTGGCTGCGTCCACGCCTCAGACTTTGAATGGCTTGCAGAGTAGACCCAACTTCACCCCCCCTCTCTGCTTGTTTGCCTGTTTCAACTTGAAAACAACTTGTGACACTTGGATGTGTGTGCCTGTCACGTGTCGGACTGATGAGATGTGTGTGTGTGTGTGTCTGCGTGCGTGCGTGCGTACGAGCGAATGATTGTTACTGTAACTGAGCGGGCCATAGCGTCAACTTACAGGGAAAACCTCACCACCCTCCCACACCCTCAACATCTCTTGTTGCCTTGGTTACACACTCCCACCCATCCTCCCCTCTTTCTTTAACCCCCTCCGCCCCCCCTGCACGGCATGTTTGTCTCAGAGGTGCACCGTTGCCTGGCTCCGACTTGTCACACTCCCCCTGGGCTTTAAGCAGTGTTGCTGTTCGACGCATTAGGGCGGTCTTGCACAAAATGGCAGAATAAAACCTAGCACAGGAGTAGAGTGTGACTTATGGTAGTAAAGGTACCGCGTGCGTTGCATGTGTCGAGCCCTGCTTAAAGTCTGGCGGGTAAATTCTTCAGGTACGTTTGTGTGTCACGTCTTTATTGGGGGGAGTAGTTTAAATATGCCCCCCCTCCCAAAAAAATAACAAGCTTTTGGATTAAGGGGTTTCTAACTTCACCAAGGCATCTTAAAAGGGGAAGATGGCGGTCATCCACAATCGAGAGCTAAGCTGACCACATTTTGATACTCCAAAACTCGATTCTGTTTTGGAATGGTTCCATTAGCACCCTTAGCTTGTGTGCTTCTTTTATTTTTGTCTGAGCTGGTAAGATTCTCAGCCGTTTAAAGTTAATCCCTCACCCAGTAAAGCTCCTCCAAAATTCTTCATTCATCAAGGATGGGGAACCTTGAAAACAGTTCCTCTGAGGGTTTTGTTTGTTTGTGGAAACGCACGACGGGCCAGATAAACCGCTCCCAGGACCGTCTCTGGCCCACGTGCTGTAGGTTCCCTTGCTGTGCACTATGTGGACACAAGTTTTGGCACATATTGTCTTACCTCGTGAAAAAGTGAGTTGAATATGCAACACCTTTGACTGAGAGGGCCTTCCAGCTGGCCATCACGATGCTAGTTTGGCCTCTTCTCTACACCAAATCCTTTCAACAAAGTTTTTAAGAACTTTTTTTAGGGGGGCGGGGCATTGAAAGAAAACGGCCTTCCCTGAACTGTTCCCACTGAATTGGAAGTCTACGACTGCCCTCGGTGTCTTGCTGGTGATGATGAAGTTTTCAAGAGATTCAACCTCTGCCATTTGGCATGTTGTCCCAATACTTGCGTCCGTACAGTGTAGCTCTGCATTATCCCTACAAAGGGGAACATTATTGGCACAATGGTGTTTGGGGCATATTCTGGTTGAGGGAATGAGATAAATACCAAAGAGCCAGGGCACTGGGACCTGTGGTTTGGAGATGGTGGTGAGAGGGAACCTGTAAGCACCTCGCTGTGTGTAAAGGGATGTGGGCGGATGGGGGGGTGTGAACACATTGACGGGCACATTAAGTGCCTCAGGTAATAATCCGTCCCCCCCAGCCAAGCTCCACAACTCCACACACACACACGCATCCACACGTACACACCCAACCCCGCCCTCCCTTCTCTATGTGTCTCAATCTTCCTGCTTAACCAATTGGTGTTTCTTTTTTACAGCGATTTGATCCTGCCCATGTTGTGCTGATGGTAAACTTAGTGGTAAATGTTATTTTATCCCCCAATTGAATTGTTTTTTTGGTTTTGTTTTGTTTTCTCCCATTTTTTTGTTTCTCCTGTCATCACAGCACCAATGCTACTACATAGGCTTTCAATTCTCTCCGTATTAGTCCTCATTCTGCTGCTTGTATATATTATCATGCATTACGTATTTCTCTTAGAACATTGTCATTTTGTTTTCAATTTTTTTTCCTTCTTTTTTTTTTTTTTTTAAAAAAACCTTGTGATTCACACCTTGTGATTTAGATGCACATCATTGTTGTCTGGTCCCTTTCTTTTTCCACTGGGATGGGTAATGTGGACGTTTTGTCACTGTGTTTGACGATTGGTGGTAAGATTTGGGATGCAATTGTTAATGAATCTTTTAATTCTGGGCTGGGCTTGCGACTCCATTCAGACGAACCACTGCAGTGGACTGACGTGCATGCCAACCCCCTACCAGTGTACTTATTTAACTCTCTGGATCAGCATACCAGACAATCACCCATTTCCCCCTTTTTCCCCCTGAATTAAGGAATCATCAGTGAGGCAGTCAGTTTGAATGTGCCTCTTTCACTGCATAGTATCCAGTCGGCTCTTTGGAGTTCGTGCAAAATTACCACTTCAGAAAAGTAGATCCACAGTTTCCCCACATTTTCATTTTATATCATTTGGCAGGGTATTGCCGCCACTGCCTTTTGTTTCACTCAGCAACGTCCTATCTTGCAGTAATGACATGCGAGATGACAAATAGCAAGGTGGGCAGCAACAATTGGTTGAAACACATTAAGGAAATGACTACGAGGTTCAGACATAATCTTTGCCCTGGCACCCGAACACTTGGGCCTCTGTTATCGCTCCTATACACTTTTGCTCATTAGTGGAGCACATTAGTCAGGGCAACTCTCGTTGAATACACTCCTGAAAATGACAAAAATAAACACAAGTCAATGTTAACTGAACTTATTGATGTGCGTCAGCTGGAGATGGAGCAGTAATGGACTCCACAGTCTCAACCTTTGCTGCACTGGTCCATTTTCTTGCTGCCTCTCCTCCTCCATTGTCTTGTTTCCAAGTTAGGTGGGCAAAAAGCAAGATGGGCTGTGCCCCAAACAGACACGAATAGAGTTGAGGCTGGTACTGCGCAGTGGAAAAGGGTCAAAAGGATCGAAAGAGTTGACAGACACTGCAGTGGGACTGAGAGTCCAGGCAGGCCGTAACGTTACAATGCCCATGCATTTGTGATTTCAGAATTGAATGTCATTGGGCTGTGATGATTTCTCCAAAGGAAGTCGAGGAAACAATTTCCCTATTCTTGGCCTGCTATGGGAAGAAAAGAACTCACTCTCGATATTAGTGCATTTATATTGATGGAAATATTTCAAAGTAACAGCCATGAAAAAATATTAGTTGTTAAATAGTATTTACATGTCCATCCTTGTAGCTATGTCATACGCCCAATGGTATATGCGTAAACGTGATTCACTGCAACCAAAACTACGTGTGAGGGGGGTGGGGGGGTGGAAGCTGAAACCATACTGACACAAACTGAAACGAAAATCAGTAAAACTGGTTGTTGTATCTGGCTGGTAAGAGGAGCAACACACACTGGTCCATATATATATATGTATGTATATATGGGAAATAGAAACTTGTGAGAATTCCCTGCCTATCTGTGTCTGTACCCCCCGACTACCCCCCCCCCCAATTTCCATGTGTTCACGGGTAAGTATCCCCATCCCTTGCACTGTCACCATGGCGATACCTTGGCCTGTGACGTCACTACTGCTGTAGTTCATTGCTTGTGTCTTGTTTTTGTTTTTATTTGACTACAGTATGTCTTTATCTCGATCTGCTTTGTTTGGCTGATTATGAGTGGATTAAGCCGTTTACATCTCAATCTTCCAAGTAGTGTTGATTTCTATTTTTTATTTTGGTTGTCTTGTTGATTTTTTTTTTTTTTTCTCGACAGTTACTTTCCTTCTGATCTAGCTCTTTTCACAGCTTACGGGTAAACTTTACAAAGAGGTTTGGGGCAAGTATTTAAACTATTGACCGAGAAATCAGATGACACTCAGGAAGGGATGGTGATGCAATGGGCTGCAGAATACACAACGAGGCTTTGTTGTCCTCACGGACGATGTCGCTTGTGTGTGTGCGCGCCGACCTGTTGCTCCTCCCTTTTTGTCGACAGTTAGATGATGAATTATAAGGTATATCACAAATTTGAAATTTGTTGCACTTAAGTACATCAGTCACCAAGTAATCGAAACTTGCTGTCTCATCAGTAAGCTGTGAGAATGGCTGGCGTTTGGTTCACTGTAGCTTTCTGGTCTCTTTGCACTTTTTTAAAAGGCTAATTTCTCTAACCCCAGCACCCTATGCTCTTAAAAGCAGGCTGTCTCCGAGCTGGCCTTCCACCCAGCAACTTTAAGAAACAACTCACCTTGTCATTTCTCTGTCTCTTGTTCCCTCAGGACGCACGGACCCCGTGCCCATTATTCTTAAATATGATGTCATGGGGATGGGACGGATGGAGATGGAGGTAAGGACGCTTTATGTAGATGAAGCAGTTTCTAGCCTGATTTTTGTTGGATTGGACTGTAAGTAATGTCCTTTTTTTTAGATGGACTATGCAGAGGATGCCACAGAGAAAAGAAGAGTGCTCGAAGTGGAGAAGGAAGAGACAGAGGAGCTACGGCAGAAATACAAGGTGAGCCCTGGTCTGGCCATAACTAGACCACCAAGCTCCTTTTAATCTTTTTCTACATGTATGTTTCACCATCAACAGGATCAGATTGAGAAGGAGAAAGCAATTGCAAAAGCCCTGGAAGACCTGAGGGCTAATTTCTACTGTGAACTGTGTGACAAGCAGTACACCAAGCACCAGGAATTTGACAACCACATCAACTCCTATGACCACGCTCACAAGCAGGTAGAACTTGGGTGTATCCCTTCGGAATGGATGACCGCCGTTTTTTTTTCGGAGTCATCTAACACCGTTTGTGTCCCGTGTCTCAGAGGCTGAAAGAGCTCAAGCAGCGTGAGTTTGCTCGGAATGTGTCTTCGCGTTCCCGCAAAGGTGGAAAGAAACAGGAAAAGATGCTGCGCCGTCTTCACGAGCTGGCTGAGCAGAGGAAGCAGCAAGACCGGTAGGATGTTTTCATTCAGTCTTCCGCCGCCCTCTACTGGCTAGAAATAGTTGATCAAGGCAGCGAATGCAGCAGTTGTCAGTTGTTAATAACGTACTGCATTTAAAAATGAGGTATGAGGGATGTAACTATTTAAGATCACCGACATAGTGACCAAAATTGTCATGTTTGTCGGTATTACCACCGACACATTAGTATTATTTCAAAATGTAAATGATAAACTTGGCAAACTCTATCAACATTTTGCACATTAGAAATTTTAAACAGAAGCGACCGAAATGAATTTTCCTCCATGCAATCTTCCAATATGTGTTTGAATAAACCACTTGACGTTGACCTCTTCTTAATGGTCCCACGAATCTAATATATTAATTTAGCACCTTTTATTTTGTTCATGTGCTGTGAAGACAATGAAAGCATGCTAAACCCAGGATGTCTTATCAGTTTACAGTCGATCTCGAGGCACCATTTTCAAGGAAGGTCATAGCCTATTCATAACAACTTCTTTCATCTTGTTAGCTGACGTTGCTATTACAAATTGCTGCGTAACAGAATATCAAGACGACCCAGTGACGCTCTGAGATGTTAAACACGGTACTAGCTAACTAGGTATCAGATATTTGTGTCTTGTATTGCACACTAAATAAAGTGCCAAACAACAAAGCGTTTCAATTGAATCTTGTCATTACTCTTTTCAGCACTCCGGGAAGCGGACCCATGTTCAAAACCACCACAGTGGCTATAGATGGCGAGAAGGCCGAAGATGGAGATATCTTTGCCCCCGAGAGTGCTGTTGTGACAGAGCCTGCCTTCGAGGTCTTTGTTCCAGACAAAAGCGAACGAGCCTCCCCGAAGCCTGCGCCGACATTGAGCTTCTCCTTGGGCAAGAAGAAGAACTGCTCCTCACCTAGCGCCAGCGCGTCATCCAAAGTCAGCGTGTCGTTCTCCTTCGCCAAGAAGGCACCGGTGAAGCTGGAGACAGCGGCTGCAGTGTTTACCGATCCCGGCGAGGAGGTCATCGAAGGAGAGGATGGCGAGGAAGGAGAAAAGGCGGCGGTCCAAGATGAAGCGTCTACCTGCAACGCTGACAGCCCCAAAGGAGGCTCGCGCGTAAGTGATGGAGGAGAGTCCAGCATTGCGACGGGGACAGAGGAGATGCAGCAGTCCAACGACGGAAACTCGCTGGCTTCGACGCTCAACAAGCTGAAAATGATGATGAAGAAGGAGGAGAGCTATGCAGGACAGGATCCCCAGTACTACCACTACATGCCCCCAGCGCACTGTCGAGTGAAGCCTCACTTCCAGTTTCTGTTGTTCATGAAGGCATCTGATCAGAATCAGAGTAAAGAAGACGAGGAAGATGAGGACGAAGTGCAGGAGGAGAAGGTTGAGACCGTTTCTCAGGAGTCCAACGTCGTCGAGTGCAGCAACGAAGATGACGATGATGATGCCATCACCGCCTCAACCCCTGAAGCTCAACAAACTCCTCAGCCTTCAAAAGTGAAGGAAGAGGACAACACTTCATGCACAGTGGAGACGACTCCTGATCTTCCTTCTTCCCTAAAGCAGAAAGAAGAAAGCTCACCACCACCGCAGCCTTTGGACTCCAACTTGGGTCCCAAGATCCCCATGGGTCCGTTCTTCCCCGTGTTGAGTAAAGATGAGAGCACCACCCTGCAGTGGCCCTCCGAGCTCCTCGAGTTCACCAAAGCGCCGCCTTCAGTGTCTTACAGCTGCAATCCTTTATACTTTGATTTCAAGCGGTCTCGTAACAAGGGCATGCGTGCTGGGAAGGCTGTTAAGTCTCCAAAGCCCGGCGAGCCGCCCGACAAAGAAAAGCAGAAAGAGATAACCCCTAAGGCCGAACCAGTTGCTAAAACAGAGCTCAACAGTGATGAGGCTGCCGCGAAGGCGCAACATGGCCATTCCGAACGCGGCGATGAAAAAGCAGCGACGGGTGGCGGCAGCGCCAAGAAGAAAAAGAAGAAGAAGAAGCACAAAAAGTCGGCAAAACATTCGAAGCGCAAAGCGAAAGATAAAGATGCACTCGCGGAAGATGCGCAGGGCGAGACTGAACCAACTCAAGAGACGCCCAAGAAAAAGAAAAAGCACAAAAGAAAGAAGAGCAAGAACAAAGTAGCGGATCAAGAAGAGGCTGCAGGTGAGGAAAAGGAGAAAGCCAAGGAAAAGTCTGAAGTTAAACCCGAGCCTTCCTCAGTGCAGGCCCCAGTTGGAAGAGTCGTAGGAACTGGGAAGCGGAAACGGGCTATGAAGGGCCCTACTAGCAGGTCAGGACTGGAGGAAAGGAGCACTGGAAAAAGCTTAGACAAAGCTATTCCCTCTGAGGAGCATGGCAGCAACAAGCGACTAAAAACTGATTCCGGGCCCTCCCAGAGCGCCTCTTGTTCCACCTCGGCTCAGAAAAGCCCGGGTCCCGGAAGACCTCCCAGTAGCGAGAGTGAAGAGGAAGGTGGTTCCACCACCCGGCGTTCGCGCCATCACCGGTCGAGTCCTCGGGAAGAGCGGCGTCACCACAGTGAGGAGTCGAGGCGCTCCTGTAGCCGCTCCTCGAGACGCGGCAGCAGCCGTCGACGGCACCACCGCGGCAAAACCTCCCAGAGTCGCTCTTATTCCAGCAGCTCTGACCGCTCCTCAGCGGGTAGCAGCGCCTACAGCCACCGAAGCCGCAGCTACTCGGACAGCTACAGCGACTACAGTACAGAGGGACACCAGCGCAGGCACTCCAAACGCTCGTCGGACTCGGACTACGAAAGGCGGGGCAACCGAGGGCACCGGCGGTCCAGGCGGCGCCAGTACTCCTCGTCCTCCTCCGACGACTCCCGCTCACGTTCGCGCAGCTACAGCCGCAGGAAGCGGCACCGGCGGCACCACCGCAGCACCTCCAGGAGCTCCACGAGCTGGAGCCGCAGCACCAGCGTTAGGTCCTGGAGGCGCAGCTACAGCCGCAGCCGCAGCTCGGGTAGCCGCTCATCCAGCTCCGCCAAGGGCTCCCCGCACCGCCGCAGCGCGCGCAGCCGAGCGGGCAGCGAGACCCTCCGCAGGGACTTTAACCGCACCAGCGTCTATCGCTCGCAGTCGCCGCGATCCGCCTCACGCGGTCTTACCCGCACCGCCCTCAGCTCGCAAGCTCAGCGGCTCGGCGGAACCCGGGATGCAGGTGAGTACAAAAACTCCCTCACGGCACGTCAGCTCTTGGAGAAGATTCAGTCGAAAAAGAATTCAGACGATCCCATCGCAGCAACCAAATCTGGTTTAAAGATCAAGGACCCGCCGCAGGGATACTTTGGTCCCAAACTACCCCCATCGACCAAAAGCATGCTGCCGCTTTTTGGTAAACTTCAAGCAGCGAAGAAAGCACCTGTGATCCCACCGAACAGAACGGATGAGTGTGACAAACCTGGAGAAGGGAAGAGCACAGAGGCTGATGGAGAAGTTATCCTGGTGGAGCCCATAAGGGAATTCCCGCCGCCGCCTCCGCCACCACCACCTCCGGTTCCGCCAGTGCAGAAAGTCGAGGAGACCCCACAGAGCATGACGGTACAGGAAGAGACGCAACAGCCGACATCAGACACTCAGGTGCTGCAAGAACCCCGGCTGCTTTATGAGCAGGACTCCTCCGTGATGATACCTCAGTACCAAGGGGAACTGGGGCAGGAGCCCTTGCAGAACCCCATGATGGAGACCCTCATGCCCGACATGCAACAGCAGCAGCCCCCGATGCACGGCTACCCCATGTACGCGCCTGCCGGCCTAGAGGAGGAAGGCCTGGAGGCAGAGGAAGACGGCCTGGCACCGCTGGAGAGTCAGCCCATCACGTTCACGCCGGAGGAGATGGAGAAGTACAGCAAGCTGCAGCAGGCGGCGCAGCAGCACATCCAGCAGCAGCTGCTGGCCAAGCAGGTCAAGAGCTTCCCGCCGGCCGCCGTGGCCGCCACCGCCGCCCTGGCGCCGGCGCCTCCCCCGCCCGCCCTACAGCAGATCCACATCCAGCAGCCCGCTGTATCGGTGGCGTCGGGCACGTCCATCACCACCGTGCAACACGCCATCCTGCAGCACCACGCTGCCACCGCTGCCGCCATGGGCATCCACCCGGCGCACCACCCGCACCCCGCCCATGCTCAGCTGGCCCAGGTGCACCACATACCCCAGCACCACCTCACCCCTATTTCCTTATCCCCCTTGGGTCCCACTCTTGGACACTCGCTGGGACACGCCGGGCTGATCCCCGCCCACCCCACCGCCTTCCTTTCCGGGCAGCCCATACACATCATCCCAGCCTCGGCGCTCCACCACACACCCTTGGCCCTCCACCACGTGCCCCACGCTGCCCTCTACCCTACGCTCTTCACACCCAGACCCTCGCAAGCGGCGGCGGCGGCAGCAGCGGCCCTCCAGCTCCACCCGCTCCTCCACCCCATCTTCTCAGGGCAGGACCTCCAACATCCATCTAACCACGGCACCTGAGCAGTTGAGAAGTCTGACTGGACACTCATTCTTCTCTTTTGGAGGTTTTTGCAGCCCCGCCCCCCTACTCCAGACACTGGCTTGGTTTTGCAATGCGGTACGAAAACAGGATGTTTTTTTTTTTAACTCACTGGATGATTTTTTTTTCCCCTGTATTTTGTATCTTTGTTTTTCAGCCAGTGAATAAATGGCCAAAGCCATGAGAAAATTTGGAATGACAAGAAAATACAGGGGTGAGCAACTATATACAGCCCATACGTCATTTAAGGAGTACCACCCCTGCTTTAACATGACTACTTTTACTTGCAGTAACGTGTACATATATCAGTGTGCAATCTGAAGAATTCCACCCAAAGAATTGGTGGCCGAGATCATCGCGACTATTTGCGCTACGATTAACCCCCCGGCCCCAATTCGCAATGTCGGGTGACATTTCTTGCACTGAAATCTTAGTCAAAGATTGTAGTATACTGCAATAAATTTTTTTGTTTTGTTTGTAAATTATTTTCCAAGATGTGCTTTTCCAAGAAGGAAAGGTAGTTTTTTTTTGTTTTGTTTCTCCGTTGTGTATTTTTGTTTTGTAAATAACCTTAACATTCTAGCGGTTGTATTGGTCAAGGAAGTTGCTCTCTTGCCTCAATGGGCCTCAAACTGTAGCTACTCTGTATTTTTCTTTAAAACTAACTGTTTCAGCCAATAAACCCTTGAGTTCATCCCTCGTTTTTTTTGGGGGGGGGGGGGGGATTTAAGAACTACCAAGAACAATGGCAACTATCCAATGTGACAGTAGGCGGCGCCACTGATCCTTGGAGTCCAAACCCAAAGTTCAAAGTCCTCATGATGGGATGCCTTAAAGCAACCAAAGTAGATTTAGATTTCATTCAAATAAGTCAAGCAAGGAAAGGATACATGTTTTATTTACCAGAATTAAATCACTCACATAGTGAGACTAGAGTCAACTGTAAATCATGACAATGAGCTGTACAATTACAATTGTTTTAACTTTCACCTCTTAATGAGCCGACATCACATTTTAATCCTCTCACCAGCCTTGTAGTTTGCTAATGTTGTATTAAAAAACAAACTTTTAAATAGACATTTCATTTCAGCTTGTATTTCAAAGGAGTGGTCCATTGGTCCATAAGTGGGTAGAATACTGTTGTAAAGGTCCAACAATGAAAACTGCGATGGCACAAGTCATAAAATTTCTGACATCTGAAAAAAATAAAATAAATCCTCAAAAGTGTGTGTGGGTGGGTCTGTCTGGGTTCATCCCAGATATCGTATCACCAGGAACATGAAGATGCACGTGAGCAGCATCCCTCCGATCATGATCCACTTATCCTGGGTGGCTCGCCTCTCGATGAGCCGCATCACCGTGTTGGACAGGCCCAGCATGTTCGCCACGTCCAGCATCTTTTTGTGGGTCCCCTGGTGCCACAAACAGATGACGCAACGTATTATTTCAAACTGTACCACCCACAGATTCACTTCTCGTTACCCCAAAGGCACTCACCTTGAGCGACGACCTTTGATCTCTGAGCCCGTTGAGAATGCTGCTACCGCTGCCCAGCAGGTCGTCCATGCCTCTGTGTGCGTTGTGCAGATTGGTGTTGAGCTGCAGCGTCTCGTCGATGGGGATGGATGTGTCAGCGTCCTGTGGAAATTATGATTATCATTCAAGTTATGGAACAAATTAATTGTTATGGATTTTCAGCTATTAAAGGTGGGTCTGATATATATCCCTGCATTGAACTTGGGGTCTTTTTTTAAAATTTTTTTAATTACAAGTGTCAATGGATGCAACTGACATTGGTGGTGAAGGTCCGGCTCATGAGCTCTTCCCGCTCTCGCTCCTGGGCTTCGTGAGTGTAGCGTCTGTGTTGGAAGTTCTGCAGGGCGGTGCGCAGGTGCTGGACATCATACTTGAGCTGGTCCACACGCCTTTTGGAGTGGGAAGAAAATATATTTTTTTCAATACAGTACGAGTGTTCTTTGTGATTTCTACTCTAAGGTGAGACTCGCCAACTCACAGTTTGGCATTCTGACGGCGGTTCGGGGGCTCCTTGCTGGCCAGGATCTCCAGACGCTCCAAGTGGTTGAAGATCTGCTCGATACGAGCCTGAAGTTCATTCTCTAACACTGAACATTGAGAGAAGACAACCATTATATTACATTAGGAGAAAAATTACAGTGAGAGGTAATATTTAGCCCTGCCCGTAATGCAACTAGACCACTCAAGTTTTGTACACGTTTTGATTAGAGTTGAACAATTTCGAAAAACAATTCAAAATCTATTTCCCATGCTGATTATACGCTGTACAATTTTATCTATTACTGGTATTGTCACTTTAGCCATATCGTACTGAATCAAGTGTTATATTTTTTACTCATAGGTTTTTTTTTAATACTGGTTTTTGTTGGTGGTGCTGGTTGGGGAGAGGGGTGTTGCCAACTTCCCACCATTATCTTTAGAAGAACCCAGCCCTGCAGTTTCCTGTTCCAAACTGATCACCAAGCATACAAAACAATCAAGTACGAGCAGCCATAACAAGAAGTGCGTGCGGAATGGACATTAATTAGCTTAAAGAGGAGTCCCGAAAGGAATGCACGTGTACAAACACACAATTGTTGGTTGTCGCTTACTCTGAGCATATCAAACTGAGGGCTGTTCCCAATATTCTCTATGGAAGGGACAAGATATTCGGAAACACGACACAATAGTGATCAAATAAGCAACTCAAAGACACTACTAGAGACTACAGCTACGGCATAAAAAAAGTACATACAGAGTATTACTTCCTCCAGCAACTGCAATTAATACTCACAGTGAACTGACTGGCGATCTGTTCTTTCCAGGTTGCCCATTAGCGACTGCACCTCCTGGATGTGTCTAAGTAAAAAGTAGAATTTAAGCACTTGGTTAGCTAGCTAGCTAAACAGAAGAAAGCATTTCCAAGTAACTCACTTGTTTGTCTGGTGGTAAAGCGTCTCCATTTTCGACAGCCACTCTCTAAGCTAATCGTTATTATTTGTTTATTTTTACAATTATTTTACAGGTTTATCGCCCCTCGGCGTGGAACTCGGTGACCAATGTTAGCTCTGGGTAGCGCTAGAGGAAAGTACACGTCATCAGCGTTTGTGTACGGAAGTAGCAAAGGCGGAAGTGTTGAGACGTCACGGCAAAGACGGAAATTGAGTGGCCGTGAGCGAACGCGCGGACACCGGCCGCCATCTTGAGAAATTAACTTTGGTAAGCGTTTGAGAGACGGTTGTAGCCATTAAATTGTCTTTTTGTGTTTTATTTGGTTCTCAAATGTGCCTTTGGAATTAAATTGAGGCTACACCACAGATTAAGGTAGCAGGAAAGAATCATTTGACATGTGTCCTCAGGCTATTTTAGCAGTCTAATAAAGATGTGCTATGTTTAAACAGATTAAGTGTCAGGATTTTCCTGCTTGTCTTAATGCTTCATACTTGTTTTAATGCTTTATAAAGGTCAGGTAAGATTACAGCGACAGCACAGTCATGGTGCATTGTGTGAAAGTATCTAAAGATGGGATTTCCCAACCTACATTTCACAACAGGTCCTCAGGTGGAAAATTGATTCCCAAGCCAAAACCGCACTTTAGTCACCTTCGTCCTCATCCTGTTGACTAATTTTAAGGCAAGGTGCTTAATTAGTTCAGTAAAATATATGAACGAGCTGTTACAAGCTCCTCTTCTTTTTTTCCTTCATAATATTTGTTTACCTCATCGGGCACAGCCATCAACAAGTGGAGCCAGACAGATGGTGCTTGACTTGATGGCTGTGTGTATCTCCAGGCTATAAAACTGTCAGAAAATCTGGAGATGCGTTCATGCCACTTCTTGCTCACACTACTTTTTTCCCCTCGGTTGTCATAACACATCCCCCTGCGGCATAGGGAAGCGCCAAATGAAGGCCCCTGTCAACTCATAGCGGTCCACAAAGGAGCATTTACCACTCCACCCACCCCATCTCAAGGTCGCGGGGTTCTTTTCTTTCTTTCGGTCTGTCTTTCTTTATCTTTCAGGCCCTGAGGAAAGGATGAGATGAGCTTACTGCTTCACCTCCACACCTGAGCACCATGGGCACAAGCCACTGTCCAGACTGCAGGTGTGTTCAAGGCATTTCACCGCACAACTCCCTGACCTTACCTCCCCCAAGGTAGCACACTATTGTGTACCTCATGTATTGAGATGCACTGTTTCAAAAAGACTGGCTTACAAGTTTTAGTTTTATGTCATTGGGTGTTACTGGGGGCTAATGAAATTCTAAGACACGCGTCACAAAAAAAGTCAAAGGAAAAGCATCGCACATACAAGATGGAAAGACAGTGATTCTGGAAGCAAATTTGGTACCTGAATAGAAATGGACACTGAACCCTTCACCGTAATGCACTCAAACGATGTAATTTGTCTCATGATGCAATTAAGTAAATAGCTGATAATATCCATCTATCCATTTTCTAATCCGCTTATCTTCACAAGGGTTGCGCATGAGCTGGAGCCTATCCTAGCTGTCTTCGGGCAATAGGTGGGGTACACCCTGAACTGGTTGCCAGCCAGTCGCAGTGCACACATAGACGAACAGCCATCCATGCGCACTGTGAGGCCGACGTGCTAACCAGTTGACCAACGTGCCGCCCCCTTGCTGATCATCATGAATTGTATAATAATGAATGCAAATCCAGAAACAGGCAAAAAAGTCTTCATGTGCTACAGTAATTTTCTCCTGTTATAGTAGATTTAAATGAGTACCAAGTCAAGGGTTAGGAAAGGAAGTTTCCCAGTCATTGTAATAGATCATAACTCAATTACTAGTCACAGGGAGACTGACTGAAGTAAAGAAGACAATTATGCGGGGAACAGGAGGAGGAGAAGAAAAAAAAAAGGCCTTCGGCTCCACAATTTTTGGGATACCACTCATTTTTTTGAAGGCATACTGATCTTCTCATTTCCCCCCCGAGGGAGACCATCAACTCCACTTTGAAGCCACTGTGACGAGACGCTGAATGAGAGCAAAAACGGGGCCTGTCAGAACCTTGCCTAGCCTGGCCCGGGCCGCCTGGAGTTCTGCTGGGAAAATAACCAAAACGGGACTACTTACAAGTGAGTCATGTTCTGATTGAGCTGATCGGCTTTCCCTCCTTCCGACAGAGGCTGAGACCCTCACATCGAGCTGTCAGTCACACACACACACACACACACACACACACACACACACACACACACACACACACACACACACACACACAGCCCTGTGGCTACACTATCTGACACTTGAGAGATGGTTGCTTGATGGCTCAGGCCTTCCCCTCCCTGTATTAACACACACACACACACACACACACACACACACACACACACACACACACACACACACACACACACACACATTCATACTGATGGTCACAATATTAGGCACACTAGATACATGCTCTGTTTTCGTGATTGATCTGTTCCAAAAAGACTGACTGAAACAGAAGAACGCAAACACTCAAGCAGTATTTCTCCTCCGAATTGATGTCATTCGAATGAATCCATTCCAGACACTCAAAAATATTAAGAAAAACTCAATTTTAAAAAGGAAAAACTTTATTTTAACATACATAGCCCAATATGAAATGAAAATCATGGATATAAATTAGATAAATGAACATTAAACATCACCTCTTGACTCTTGATCGCTGATGAAAGGCAGTAAAGCGGGGAGAGTGAGGAAAAGAGGGTATTGTTTGCGAGGGGAAGCTGGCATTTTCATACTTTGCTAAAAGTTCTTGAACTCTAAGGTTTTTCTCCTCTCTTCTTGTGACTTATTGAAACAAGAAAACACTCAAAGTTGTGCATGAGTATTGGATGCTTGGTATGGGGTTAGATTCCAGGAAATGAGTGTGTAAGTCCCGTGGGAAAACGGAGCAAATGTACAAAAACTGGGGAAAAATGTTAGTGGGGGAAAAAAAATCGCTGAAAACCAAATTGTATGAATACCAGGGCATAAAAAAGAGGTTGTACTGCACATAATACCAACCAATACATAAGTGCCTCAACAAAGATAAACATGCTTGTTTTTGATAGTTGAATGCAAACTTTTAGCATCCCAACAACATTCTTGTTAATTCTGGAACATATCGTGTCTCAGTAATGTGCTATGTCGCTAAAGTGTTCTGACGTTCTTCCAATGGTAACTTGCTCACAATTTGTATATAGTACTAACATATAGCAAGATGTCAATAAAAACTTGAGTGCCAAAACCCCTAGAATAGAAGAAATTAAGATTTTAAATCATTCCCTGTAATCATACGCCGCTTCCCATATTTGAATTCCTTTTAATCAAAACAAACATTACACATTTTGCAAACCGCTCTTTGATTTTGCAGCTATACCTAATAAATTGGCCCTACCCAGCCGACAACATCATTGTGTCGCCAACATTCCAGACACAAGGTCTTCCTCTTCCTTTTATCAGTGTGTTTTTCCCCTTCTTGGACAACGTTAATGCCGGGATGTGTTGGTATTGGTTGTAATGGAGGTTTGTGAATATGTGTGTGCGTAGCTCGAGAGGAGTAGCATGGCGCAGGGAGTGAGTTATAAAAGCGCACAGAGGCGTTATCTTGTCCAACGATACCGGCCGTCTTGTTGTTGCTGCTGCAGGTGTGCAAGTGCAGAAGCATGGGAACAACTTCTCCCGGGAGTTCCCTGCCGTGTAGTCATGCAGCATGTGGATGGAAGTGCGAAAACACTCTACAGGGCATCTTTGCCATGGGAAATATAAAAGAATAGACCATTTCCTAATGTTTGTAAAAGTAATCCGATTTTACATGTGCTGAACTGAGGAGGACAAATTGAGTGGAAGTAACCATGATTAGCAGTTTATTTTTAACGACAAAGACACGATATTTAATGTTCAACCTGATGAATGTTAGTGATTCTCTCATATATGTAAATTAATATATATATATATATGTATATATATATATATATATGTGTGTGTATTGTAGACCATATATGTTTGTATGCATGTGTATATAACATCAAACGTACATATACGGTACATAAGAAGTTTTTTTTTTTTTTTTAAAGTGTACCGTGAAATTTAACATAGTGAACGATGATCGCATGATCTACGCTGACGTCTAGAATGCTATTCATCATCACAATGTCATTATTTTTTATTAAGGTGACATTCAGAGCACAGCCTCTCAAAATTATTTTCTGCTTTAATATGTGTAATTTTGTTGTGATTCTTGGGAAGTTATTTTTTTGTGATCTCGTCAGCCACCGTACCTGTTCCACCGCCCCCTCCCTCCTCCCCAAAACACCACCCACCCAGTTACCCTCATTCCCACCCCCCAATAGAGGTATGCACTCAACCTTGTCATGGCCCAAGGCAGTGCATGTTCTTGTTGTGGGTTGAGCAATTGCATTACTCATTCCTAAATTCCTGCCCAATGCCGTATTCTCCGTGTACTGTATCTGTAATTTTCCCCTTTTGTTTTTTCCACCCCTGCTCAAAATGCTCTTCTGTCTTTTTTTATTATTATTATTATTATCATTATTTTGAACCCTTACTCCATCAACGTTTCTGTTTAATTCTCCCGCCATGGTCCCATGGGCCTATGCAGGAGATTAGCACTGATGCTATCAAGCATTTGTCGAGGCGGAAGTCTCGGTCAGGTTTTAGGTGTTTTTTTAGTTTCTCCTTCACCCGAGGCTTTGAGGTTCCGATTACAGATGAGGAACCAACGCTTTGTGTCCTTGAGCCAAAGCGTCGAACAAACCTCTGCACGCCTCGCTGAGCCGCCCCCAAATAAATAAGTCACGTATCAACCACCAAGCGTTGCTACGGCGAGAAAATACACTTTTACAGTATCAAGCAGAACAAGATTAATACTGAATACTAATTTTATCCTTTTAACATTCTAATATCAAGACGCTACTTTTTTCACATGAAAAAGTAGCGTCAGTAAAAACAAAAGCAAAACAAAAAAAATTATTTGAGTCATTGAATAAAAGTATGTACAGTATATGAGAGAAATTTTCCAAACTAATTGAAATAGATTGTGTTGGGTGCCCTTCACTGTCTCCTGGGTGGCAAATGGCGTCTTTGGGCCTAACTTAGCTTAGCCTAGCCGATCTGCGCGCCCTCATTTAGGAACCCAAATACAAACACGCCCTCTCATATGTCACCTGCCCTCCTGCTGAGGTGACCACAGGTGTGCACACACATATGCAAAAACCTGTTTCTGCCTTCACCTGTTTGATGTCAGGCCTGTGTCAAACACACACACACACACACACACACACACACACACACACACACACATTGATATTGCATGGCAAGCCCACATCTAACCACCTCCCACCAACGCTCAGCGCCGCCGCCCTGGGGGCGAGTGCGTGCGAATCCGGCGGTAGACTCCGAAGCCCCCTTCGCTGCGCTCTCTCTACTCGGGCTTGAGAAGGGAAATTAAGGCTTTAGGAGTTCATTATAAAACAACAACAACAAGCAGCATGAGCACAGTGTGGGGGTGGGGGGGGGGGTTGCCTTGCGGGGTCTCTATTTCTCCATCCTCGTTTCCCTCCTTGATGTCTGACAACATAGCAAAAAAAAAATAAATAAATAAATAAATAAAATAATTTCCTTCCTTATCCAGCAGTCACGTCGATTTAAGTTAAATATTGATTTGTGATTTTATAATCCAGCAATCCGGTTATCTATTGTGCCAGTCTGTGAACTTGTTTAACCTCTGGCACCGGCGAGAAGAATGATGCATTTAGGTACTTTCTGATTTTTCAGGGAAATGAATTGTGTCGTGATGAAGTGCTTCAAAGCGATGGGTTGTGTATTGACCTCTTATAATAATACATAACCAATGTGTTTTCATACAGAATGTACTGTATTACAAATTAGGAAGAGATTATATTTGGTAACAGGTAAAGTGAGTGTTCAAACCTTACCTTTAGAATATTATAGGTGTGTAGGTCGCAGGTGTGAAATCATATTTGGTACCATGTTAAGTGGCTGTTCCCCATTTCAGCTTTTCATTTCAATTGCTTTCTCTAGTCGTAATTTAGGGAGCAAGGAACCATATTTGGTAACATAGGGAGTTGAAAATGCAGTTTGAGCCAATCGAAGCGCATCAAATTTGCAAGGGTTGTTGATACAACATTATTATCGTATACAGATTAATTTGGAGAAATCAGTTGTGTTTGGTCTATCTACATTAACAAATATGGTTCTGCGCTCCCTATTGTGCGAATAGAGAACAATTTGTCTCACTTCTGCTCATCACAGCGGGCTGTGGTAGATGTCCGAGGAGTAATTGTGCGTAATCACTCCCTTTAGAGAGCGACATCAAAAGCAGATGCTCATAAAAAAAATAAATAAATAAGAAAACCGTGCGAAGTACATTTGTGATTCACGCTTAATCGCACGTAAACGGCCAGGTCGACCACTCTTATTTGTTTGAAAATGCGACATTGCTCAGCGTTACCATCCTCGATGTGATCGTCATCATTATCATCATCACGTTATGGATGGCACACCTGTCGGGACGTCTCCTGCCAAAATTGCTGCCTCGCTAATGTGCATGTGTGCATGTGTGTGTGTGTGTGTGCGTGTGCGTGTGTGCGTGTGTGTGTGGGCACTCACTGACTTCATTGAAACAGCTTATTGTACAAACATTTGTCCATTTATTTATTTGCTTTAAATAAGAAAGTAAATATACATATATATAAAACAACAACACTTTTGACATGTGGTGATATATATTACCAAGTTCAAAAGACACTTCTTAAACATTTCAGAGAACATTTACTGTATGTCCATGAAAGTCCAACACCACTCATCACTCGGCATCAAAGGTGAGGTAGAGAACTATATGAGCCCTGACGTGAGTTCTATTCAAAAGATCTTTACCTATAAAGTCCTTTTGGGCTCCTTTGACTTGCACACATGGACAATTTGCTTCTTATGGTGGGGGCGCCACACGGCCATTTTCTTTGATTTATTACTGGGAGGGAAAATAGGGAGGCCAATTGTGGAGCCACTTTACAGCGTTTACAGTAAATATGCGGTTAAATTATACTTTAAACAATAACCAATTATTCTCTGGGGCAATTTTTAACTTTAAAGCGGTCGGGGTTTTTTTTTAGGTTTTTTTTTTTTATCCCCACTCTGTTAACCCCCTATAGTTCCCTCTGTAGGCACACATTCATACCACGCAGAGATTTCCATAAACATTTCCATAAGAGCAACCGAAGAGCCAGCGTGGTTTTTTTGGGGCGGGGGGGGAGTCTCATCATCCTGTACATGTACGCAGTGACAAAGTCCTCCAGTGATACTATCAATTCTGTTTTTTTGTTGTCTTTACTGCACATAGCCAGAGCAGCGTAAGTGCTTTAACCCTTAAATTGGCATAACATTTTTTAAAGAAAAGTACAGCAGACATGAAAGACAGACAGGTAGGTTCATTCAGAGCGTAAAGTACAAAAAGCAGCAGTAGTAGATCAGATACATTAAAAAAAAAAAAAAATTACAGTACCTGTTTGAAATGCTCATTGGGAATTTTCAGTGCATCCGGCACAATGGAAAAATATGTGCAGAGTGGCGTGAAAATCTAAAAATCAAGGGTGCCATTTCATGTCACAAACCAATCGAAACAAATGCTTTCACTCGACATAGAATGAAGAAACAACATCAAATGCTGGGTCTCCTCCATTGTTGTTTAAAGTGGGGCGGCTTGCACTGTGTCGTCAATCTTTTCGCGTAGGTAACGCAATATCCACCGCCGCACCATCCAGACTGCACTTTCCACATTGGATTTTCTGTTCCAAATTGCAGTGAGACGACTTGAACCGAATTGTACCACCTCTGCGAAATGGGTCTAAGTTGTGCGTTTTCACCCAAATTGCTGGACTCTTAATTGCCCTTGCCCTGGCAGTGTAATATAGCCATGGAAATGGATGATATGAATTGTTGAGAGTGATAAATCTGAAAATGTTAGGGCGTTAATTGGCAAACACGATCAGTCTATCCCGCGCAAAGATCTGCGAGGGCATGTTCCAAAGTGCGCCTCGGCAGAATACATTTGTTTTTTTCATTGGCCGTCAAAGTTCGGCCATGTTTATATATGGCCGGTGTGATAAGTTTCTGCCACATTCCCAGGACATCTCAGTGTTCCACAGGATCCCGAGAGCCCTATGTGCTCTTGCAGGTGTAAACCTCCTCCTCACGGACACACGTCTGGCACTCAACATGGCAACACCAGCGCACCTGGCAGTTACAGGAAAGGCTGGTGAGGCGCATGGCCGTGTTGTAGCCACGGCCGCAACACAGGTTCTGGCAGCTGGTGTCCTTGGCGCATGAGCGCCCACCCGTGCCTGCTGAATAGCGCGAGGGCCGGCAAAAGCTGGGCGACTCCTCCAGGTAGACCAGGTCGGTGGTGCGCGGGCTGTGGCTGTGGCGACGCGGTCCCGCCAGCTCGCTCTCGCCGGTGGCCACGTTGGTGACGCTGAGAACTCGCATGGCTACGTCGTAGCGGTACTTGAGCAGCCGGCCCGTGTCGTGGAATGGGGACAGCTGCTTCCAGCAAGTCCGTACGGCGCAAGAGCCGGAAACCCCATGACACTTGCAGGTGGTCTTGAGGCCGCTCTTTACCGCCTTGGACAGGCAGACCAAGAAGGAGGGGGGAGAGGGGGAAAAAAAAACAGGGAGACGTCAGTTCCCCTGGCTTTGATTCATTACCTGGCCTCTTATCTGGGCGGTCTATCTCCACGGAGGCGGACGGTTTCCTGAAGGCGGTCGGCTGCACCTTTTCAGAATGTTTCTGCTCGGCTCGTTGGAAACTCTAACTATAATGGATCGAGGGCAACTGTCGTATTTCATTTAGCTCACATCTCTCAATCGGACAGCTCGGGTTCTGTTACGACTAGTACCGTCTGCCTTACACGTCTCGTTCCTCACACCCGAGGCATGGCGGGACCCAGGGTGCAAATGCTGGAATCTCTCCGCCTCTCTTTCTCGCCGACTCTCGCAACCAACTTCAACCAACTGGCGTCCAAAAACTAGAACTTAAGAGGTTACCTCTGATTTGTTTGCGCCATCACTCAGCCATCTACCTTGGCGAGGGCCAGAGACAGGTCAGATAGCACAGAGGGTTAGTCCGACAGGCCTCAGGGTATTTTGGGGTTGAAAAGTTCTGCTTAGGTCCTCCCTGTGCAGGTATGAAACCCTCAGGGGGCTTCTGAGTACTATTACTGAGAGATGAGTGGGTGGCTGGAAGGCCATGCTTTCTTGTCAGACCTCACATTGGTGTAAAGTCAGGAAAACAGTGAACCCAGATAAGTTAGCTGCCATTACTTCTTCCTGTTTTTTTGTTTTGGTTTCTAGGGTGAAAGCCCCCCGGGCGTTTCTTGTCTACCTCAGAGCGCCACAGTGGTGGTTACCAACATTAGCAGGGATTTATGGTGAGTGCAGTGATTTAGTACGAGGAGAAAAAAAATGGTTGCTCGTATATTAAAAAAAGAGGCCGCGGTTGTAATCGCGCCCTGTGCGATATAAGACCTTTAATTTGTAGTCGGCCCGCACAGCAAGCTTCATCATGTCTGGGAACACCTGGCTCTGACTCTCATCTTTCTAACCTAAAACCAAGTCTAGTACCCTCTCACGGTGCAGGTAGATAAAACTCATTCAGTACCAGCCAATTCTGGGCCAAGTCTGAAAAGACGTTTAAAACCGTCTTTGGGAGTGAATGAGTTAAGAGCAAAACATTGCTTTTTTTTGGGGGGGGGGCACCGTGTACTCACCCGAATTCCCACATTGACATTGTGGGCGTCCACCTGAGCTCTCAAGTCCTTGCTGACCCTCTTCTGGCTCAGGAACCGCTTGAGGAACTTGGTGCTGTACTTGAGGTTGTCGCCGCACACCCCCCACTGCCACGCTTCCCGGTGCTGGATGCCGGGCGAGTCGTCGCAGGTGCAGCGCTCCATGCGGCCCGAGCTGCATGCCTTGGCGAGGGCGTGGGTCAGCGCCGCCGACGAAACCGCCAGGAGAAAGGCTGTCTCTTTAAAGGCTGCAACCAAACAGAGTGAAAAGGTTCAGAGGAGATTTTACACTTGGGGCAAGTCAGACGGTGCGACACCATATCCAGCAGAGAGGGCTGCGGTTGGGAAAAAAAATGTCGATCCGGAGTAAATGTTCTTGCCGACTCTCTAATCAAATTCAGTGAACACAGCCATTGTTCTTTGGTTGCCGTTGGTACCGACATACAGCCAACGATGATCAGCGAACTGGTTTTACAGTGGCGTTGTGCAACAAAAGAACACATGCTCAATCACCCCTCTACTTAATGTTTTTTTTTTTTTTTTTTTTTTTAAATTGAAAAATGTACTTAATTTTTGACTGCCCATGACTAATAGTTTTTTGTTGGTTTTTGTTTCCGGTGCAAATAACTCTAAAGAATAACTTTTAAAGATTTGTTGTTTCCTAGACCTCACACCAATGGATTAAAAAAAATAACCAGCAAAATACTAATTGGAAGAGTGTCTCACAATTCCAAACAAAATGTTCTGCAATGTTGTCAAATCCACCGGTCTCTGTTATCAGCCGTGTTTGGAAAATAGTGGAAACAAGCAGTGCAAACACACCGGAATGATTCGACTAGATGAGGGGAGAAGAATTTTTTTTTTTTGAATTTGCATTGTTTAGCTTGTTAGACTTGCATCTATGTGAAAACAAACAAAAAACCCCAACAAACAAAAACAATGCCTAAATCAAAACAGTATGTATGAGTAATGGACAGCCAAACAGTGAGTGAATTTTGGAACTTCGTGATCGACTCTTCTTGTCGTTTTCGACTGCGTGAGGCAGCAGCAGAGCCAAGTTGCCACATGAGTTGCATAGTAACCGGCCTCGGAAATGTTTTAACGGCTATATTCTGCCTCGCAGCAAGTCACAGCGCAAACATAATCTTACTAAAAATCCATTCGGTTGTGTTGATCTCTTTTGCTGAGCCTGCCAGCCAGCAATTTTTTAAAATTAAACGTGGACTTTTTGTCGTTAAAATACAACTGTGTTCATGTGATCTGTAGGGGTAGAATGCTCCGTGTTTTCAGATTTTTTCCATACGGGACCTTCATTTTAAGGAGCATTCAGGATTAGGTCAGGGTCAGGAAGTATACCGTAACTGTCTTGTAAACAATACACAATACTACACATCTTTATTTATATCGTGCTTTCATAGCAGCTGCAACTGTAACAAAGCGCTTTGCAGAAATACAGTGCAGCTCATCCTGTGGCTAGCAGATGTTGTCGATAAGCTATATGCTTTCGGCAGTAAGTCAAACTTGCCAGTTTCTCAGCCACCCGGGATCTGTGAAGGCAATGCTAGGCGCTAAGCTAACGTGCATCGGCTGCAAGGGACGAGCTCTTCTAAGATAGTAGAGCTCGCCTTCATACTGGCAGATAAACCAGATTTAGTCCAAGTATGTTCCGAAAGGAGCTCTAACTAATTAAGCATGTAAAATGCATTGACTGTGCTTTAGCGAAAAGAAAAGATTTAAGATTTGGTTTGTTTTATCTTTGATTTACTGGAGACTTTACTGCTAGCAGTTTTGTAGTTTGTGTTTTGTTCCTTTGCGGTACCGATTGTGAATCAAATCTTCAAAACCAACAAATAAATTCAAAATGCTTTTGGCCATGACACACTCCGAAAAGCCCAAATGCCCTTGAATAAGCTTAGTAAGCCCAAATGTTGACAAAGCGTTCGCTGTGTTGTCATGTCAGCGTGTCATCCTCCTCTCGCCCCTCTCCTCCGTGTCACACTCTGTTATTTACGTCGCCCCCGAGCTATCAGCCCGGCATGTCTATTTTGATCCAATTAATTATTATTTTGACTAGGACGCAGCCTTTTCCCACATGAAAGCGGGCAATTGCGCCACCCTTTTCCTCTGGGAATCGGGAGCTTTTCCTGGCAGATAAAAATAGCCACACGAGGTTTCAGAAGTCTCCGCCACCGCTACCGCTGCCATTTGTTGGCATCCTCACTCCCTCATTACTTCCTTTGCTGACCTCTTCATCTAACCCACATGTTGATATGCAGATGTACCAGTACCGTTTCATGCAGGCTTCAACTTGCAGCTGCAAGAACGTTTTCTTTTTGACTCCGAGCGATTACTGATTGATCGGTTAACCGTAAAATAGGAGAGAGTTGACTGAAATGTACTACATCATACTGCCAAAGTCGTGTAAACACACAAAATGGATCAATACCTTTCCAAGTGTATGTAGAATTTGAGAAGTGACATATCACAGTCTTTTAATCGTGGTTCTTAGGATTTTGCAACAAATGGATTGGCTTTCTGGTGGTATAAACATGCCCCAAAACTCACCAATATTATTGCAAAGCACGATTCAAATCGGTTTTCGTTACACCACCTGGTACTTAATACTTTGGCCCACCAAGCATGTCTGAATTGTTGCGCGAGTGGCTAATTTATTCTGTCCTCTTCAGATGTCTGTCTGTCTCTGTGAGTGATGGGGAGAAGAGATACCGTAACGTTCTCCCGAGGTCACAGGTTCGAAACCCCCTCACCCGCACTAACCTTGCTAACCCCCACCCGCTCCCGGGTCCTACCTCTCTTCAGGAGACTCCCCCGGCCATCCAGGCTGCAGTTCCAGCGCTCGTTGCGGAACTGGTAGCGGCACTCGAGCAAGCTGAGGCGCACGGACTCGCGCAGCGTCTCGGCCAGGCCGGGTTCACGTCGACACAGCCTCTTCTGCCGCCGAGACAGCACCATCTGCTCGCACTGCTTCAGGTGGGCCTTGCCCGTCGCCGGCTCGTTGGAGAGGTGGCCCGGCAGGAAGACCAGGGGCTCCCGCCCTGTCAGTCTAGACGTGGACACAAAGAGACAATAAAAATAAATTAAAATAAAATACCCACACACATTAAAAGCTGAACTACCTTCACTGGTATGTTTGCACAAATATTTTAATATATTAACAAATGATCATACAGTCACTTAATATGAAGAAAATGTAAAAAACGTTCAGTTTACAAATAAAAGTGATTATAAAATCGTTTTTTATCACAGTATACTTTTTGAATCATTATAGTAAACTAAAAGTTAAATGTTTTCATAATAAAGTTATAGAAGCATAGTATTACACTATTAAGGTAGCCTATACCGATTTTAATCAGTGGGATTAAATTAAATGTTTTAGTATAATAAAAAAGCTTAATTTTAGAATGTATTATACAAATTTGAATTAGTGTCAAAGAGATGAAATATTTTCATTTAAAAAGCTATGAAAATTATACTGATCAGAGTTACTGTGATTGATATGATAACATATTTCAAAATCTTATTTTAATCTGATCTGAATCTAGTCAGTATAAAATTAAGTTTAAATAATTTTATAATTTCAGTTTTCATGTACTCAGATATCTTAAAGTATTTTGTTTATGCATTATTTTATCAAAAAATAAAAATAGCTAAAACTTTTTGGATTATATATTATAGGATGTATACATTATTAAAATGTTTTCAAATTAAAAAAAACTAAACTATGTTGAATATTCAATTTTATAATACATACCGTAAATGCAGCATATATTAAGTATTTCTTTTTAAATGTAAACTTGTAAAAAGTACACTTCCAACAAGCTATTTAATTGACTTCAGAATCCGTTCAGTTCATTTTTTTAACCAATTCACAACAGAAGTTATCTCTTCACCCAGAATAAAACTAGAATTGAAAATAAGCCCAGCTCTCAAGCAACAACAGAATAGATTTACGAGACAGCACATTATAAGATAAAGTTGAACGCACCAAATTATAACGCGGCAGCACCAAAACTATATCGAACAACCAAAACAGCAACAACAAAGTGCCAAATAACCACAACTCCGTATGCACAACTAACACGTGCGTTTATCCTTTGCAAGCACCGCGCGAAAAGCTTTGCTGACCCAAAGTAAGCTGCGCCGTGCGACAGGAGGATGCAGAGTGCAACGAGGCGCAGTAGGCAGGCGGTCCGCGGGAGCCTGGAGCGCATGCTGCCGGCTCGGTTCTGCTCTTCATCGCGCTGATTCTGCCCAAGGAGAAAGTCCGAGCAGCGTTGGCCGGCGCGCCTCTTTAAGGTGGGAGGGGGGTGAGGGAGGAGGGTTGATGGGTGACGTCTAGTTCCTCAACTGGAGTCTCTCTCTACTTCTTTATTAGGTGAGGTGCCCTCCCACAGTGAGCGCCACCCAGGTGGATGCAGCTGCGAGGGGAGCTCGTTTACCTGCGCACCGCCATCACCTCCGCGAAAACCAAAAAAAAAACATCACGGTGAGCCGTGCGATTAAAGTGCATTCATAAAAGTGGAAAGCATCGTTTTGAGGATCATTTGTCGTACGTTTTAAGACATGGTACCAATCTTCAGGAATAATGGAAAGTGTGCATTTTTTTTTTTGTAGTTGTATTTTTACATTCAAGGTTTATGTTAATATGAAAACAATTTGTGTCTTTCACAATACCCAAGACGTGGCCATGTAGATGAAAATCAATTCAGGGAAATTGCTCCATCCAGTGGTTTGAAAACGCATTTTAGTTCTGTGACTCACTGGCCAGAACATTAGGTACACTTGCACAATGTACGTCAGTGCGATGCGGAATATTTTGGACTAGAAATGGATTTAAGATTGTATTGAATCCAAGTGTAAACGACATGAACTTTTTAATGTTTGTGAACAAAACAGTTGGGTCTCCGGAGTGGCTGCCCACCCACCAGGCATTATTATGCTCTCAACATGATGTCTTAAATAGCACACTGGTGTTGCAGATGAAGACGTTTGTGGTCGTTACATTTACACAAAGTGTTCACTGCCACCTTTGATTACATTCAAACAGTTTGTTTAATTTATAAAAAAAAAAAATACATGTTTAATTGTGTGCGCCACAAATGACCTTTGTCAGTCATCGTTGTGCGAGCATGATTCCTCTCTAGTAAGCCCCTATTTCAATGGCATCAATCTATTGATGCAAATATCGCAGATGTCAACTCCATCAATAGATTGATGCCGTTGAAATAGGGGAGGGTAAAAATATTGATCAGTTGATGTGTTGCAAACATGCCAATTCAATGTAGATTTAGCAAATCCTCTGCATCAATTTGGCCAGTGGGGGGCGCCTAGCGTATGGTTTGTGTTGTATGAACCAAGGCTGCAAAGCAAGCATTGGCATGAAGCTAGCGCCTTCTGCTTTTCAATCAGACCTTGAGGTTCGATTAGGAATCCTTTTAGATGGGGGGCTGCGATTGGCCACATTTGCGCAAATTTCCTCCACTTCTGATGGAGTAAATTTGCTCAGAGCTCGCACTTGTGTCTCTGTGCAGCCCAGTCCCAAATGGGGCAAGGCCCGGTACCGGTCCGCGGACTGGTGGTTGGGGACCACTGCTCTAGAGGACAGACAACCTCAACAGTTCTCGTTTAAGTAGACTTTCTTTTGTCAATTTATTTTATTAAGAACACCAAATTTAATGTGATGAATATGTATTTATGCAACTCTGCTGACTCATCATTGTTAGACAAAAATACATTTACACATGTCCACTGTACATATTGTATACTTACTGTACACATGGATGCCACCCCCCTCACCGCCCTTCCTTCCCGCAGACCACTCACCCGCCTTCTCTCGCTCCGTCTGCATTTCAGGTGGCCAATCCTCCAAAGAGTTGTTACCTTGGAAACGGCACCCTATGTATTTATAGAGAGCCACACTGCAAAAGGAGAGCAGCGGCCAGAGTGCTTCTGAGGGCCCTTTTCTGCAGGTACAGTGATAGGCCTCTCTAAAACATGGTAACTGTCGGAGAACATCTGTGGTATGCATTAAACCGGATCAATTTTACCATAGAAGAGAGCGGGAATTATTCCGATAAGATATGCAGCGTCATACTCGGCTTCTCTCGCGTGACCTTTTGGAGGGAACTTTCTGTGAGATGTCACAAATATTAATTTCACAGCACATTACCAACTGTCTTTGGAGCCAAGAGCAGTCATTTCTGCCAATGGAAACGCACTGTTCGCAACATTAGGCACACTGGTTCATCACACATGAAAGCTGCATTAAATATTGAAAGACAATCATGCACATTTTTCCCAATAATGGGGCAACCAAAATAGGATAATTGCTCCTGCCCACTGTGTCGTATGAAATCATTAACAGCGTCAATCAAAATTGAGCATTATTATTTTTTGCAAAGGCAGAACTTTTCATACATATAGCCATATGCATCCATCCATCCATCCATCCATCCATCCATCCATCCATCCAAGTGTATTTTCCCTTCCCTACATCTGCCCTTGCTGGCTTCCAGAGTCAGTCCATCACCCTGTGCAAAGGAAGCCCAGTACGATTGTTCGCCGTCGGATCAATATTTCAAAATCAATCTGCGGATACTGACAATGAATTATTTAGGGTGGTGAGTGACCGAGTGACGGTGAAACAACACAAGAGCTGGTGAGCTTCTGTATAACGTGCATGGTGACTTGCATTTGTTTGGCTTGCCGAAAGCACAGAAGGTGCTCAGCGCCGTGCCTGTCCTTACACCCACACATGCATGTGTATACACACACACACACACACACACACACACACACACACACACACACACACACACACACACACACCACGCACACCATGCACACACCATGTGAAGTCAGTGAGTCCACAAGTGGCAGTATCACATTACAAAGGCAAGTCATCTCCAGCAGCTCACGTAGCCATGGTAACACAGGCCTTACCAGGTGATTGGCACGATATGGCTGAAGTATATTCACGAAGTAAAAGCCGCTTTAGTTGTCGCTAAATGCACGGCTTGGTTTATTGCTCAGTTAATGTCTGTTTTGACTTCTTATCTCCTCAGAGAGGTTGGAACTACTCTAACACACAGACTCTCTCTCTCTCTCTCTCTCTCTCTCTCTCTCTCTCTCTCTCTCTGTCTCTCTCAATCTCTCTCTCTCTCACACACACACACACACACACACACACACACACACACGGAAAAGAAAAACAAACGTACACCTACAGCGGGAGCAACATTACAGCATGCAATTTCATGAGTTATATGATCTAAAGTGCATACTGGGAAATAAAATCAGTCTTTTAATGGCCACCATACAATACGCACCATTTAAGAGCGACATGTGAAGAGCATTGTTTGAGTGTGATCAGAATTGTGTGTGACATTCAATTTATTGTATGGTCATGTTTTAGTTATTTATTTGTATTGGAAGAATAAAATAGCCAGGATACCCATGCATGGGACATTTTAAGTTTGGTAGCACCGGGAGCTTATTTGGCTGTATCTGGAATGGAGCCACAAATTGTGGGAGTTGGAATGCATTTGTTGCGATTTTCACTTTCAATAATGTATCGGTACAGTCCTATTAAAAGAAAAAAAAATGCAATCCGGCGTCCTTCACTGTGCGTATTTGGCCTAATTATTCTTTTTAAAGGCCCAAAGCGCTGTGTATGCCTAGCTGATTATTATTTATTTCAGATTATTTGCAATAAGACTTAAAATACAGCTTCACAAGAGCACTACATAAAGCTGTGTGCTTGGTGTCTGCTGACTTTACATCCCGTGAAATGGACCAATAAAAAATGCCTCAGCTGGGGAGTAAACAAACCAAAGGTGAGAAATACAGGAATGTTTTGTTCTTGTTAGCCACTTAATTATGAAGTTAATCATGTTTTATCACAGAGAAATGCTCATTGCTGTGCTGTATTTGCTCATGACCCACGGGAATGCTCGCGAGATGCGCCCTTAAGGGCTTTTTGCTGCTAATTTATGCCGGATAACTCCCAAGTTAAACACAAGTCAGTGAATGCAACAATTTCATGCAAGAACTGTCATTGCAGGGATATTTTGCCGTGGCCTACTTTTTGGTGGACAGTCCCTGCTGACTGGCAGGAAGGAGGGTGCCTATGGCGCAGCTGGACGTGCTGGACAAACTGGTATGTGTTGTGTAATTGATGCGCACCGTGAGCATCCATTATTCATCCCTTCTCGTCATGAATAGGCTCGCATCCGCTTTTATCTTTGCATCTCCTGACATTTTACTCTGCCTTGGTTGTCGTCTATTACCGTCCGTCGTATGGACTCGTACGCGGCAAACAAGCAAAATAGGTGTCGTTCATTTACAATTTATTGTTATTTGCCAGTGGCTTCACATCATTTGACACTTGTTGCGCATAGCCTCACCGTGTGTTTAAAAAAAGAATGACAATGCAGGTAGACAAATATGCAGATTTGAATAAGTCTGATGTGATGTGGGATATTTGTAAGATGGCTTGGCCCCCCATTTCTGTGTCAGTGCCTATATACAGAACCCAGTGAGGTGAGATATTTTAGTGACTGTGTTTATCATATCTCATCTCTCATCTTTCCTCAGTGGCATGAATAGAAATGCTATTAATCCGTTCCAGCATCCCCCTGAAAAAGAGAAAGAAACATCACTTAAAGAAAAAAACATAACAATGAAATACAATGTAAAGAATTAAACAAAGTATGCATGATTTAATTCTGCAATTCATTGTGCTGGCGCAACAGTGGACGACTGGTTAGCACGTCCGCCGCAAAGTGCAGAGGTCGTGGGTTCAAATCCGACTGATGGATGGATGGATGGAATTCATTGTGCTGCTCCTTCTAGCATGCCCGGCTTGGCCACCAGGAGGCAGTATAATACTTTACAGTCATGCAGCTACAAACAAAGAATAGACTTCATGTAATCCTACTGTTAAGAGACTCAATAAAATGCTTTAATAGTGAGTCATGTTTTAATCATTGGCAATGCTAACCATTTAGATGTCAGTGCTGTTTTGCTTTGTTAAACCCTTTATCATAAGGCACAACAATGTTATTTTAAATTAACAATGTATAATTCTCTTTTTTTGTGTGTGTAATGTCAGCTTCAACTTCAGCTTCCAATCTACTGCTAAGTGAATTAGATGACAACAGCGCACATAGTGAGTGTTGGGTGTTTAACTTGTCACCCACGTCCCACCTTCCTGGCATTCATCAGTGATGCAGGTAGACCCTGATATCACCTGTAAAGGCATAAAAATTATTTTGAGTCATTTTGTTTTATTCAAATTGCTGATGTAGCATTGCGACGCTCGGATTATATTGAGCAATAATACCCGTTTGATTGCTTGCAAACACACACCCACGCACGCACACACACACACACACACACACACACACACACACACACACACACACACACACACACATCGCCATGCACTGGTTGCCATGCCGATTCTGTGCCACATTGCCTTGGGTACCTCGGCATAGCCTCATTATTAGTTGGTGTTGTCACTCAAGGGATATTTCAAGCATTTGATCTGTTTTCCTTCCTTAAGCCCCAATCATCTTCAACGGTGGTCCTTCCTTAACCCCAGATAGATATATACAGTAGTGACAGTACATGGATAAAGTAAATGTCGTTGCTGTCGGGCGCAAACCTTGTATTTCCAAATATGATCAATGTATATTTTTTTCATAAATTGATACAGGGGCGTTGATATGGAGGGGGTGAAATTGTGACCACTATCTAAGCTCCCCAAGCTTCTTGGAGGTCATAAACCGGTTGTAAAGTACAGTATTTTTTTCCATAGGTTTAATAGCTGTCAGCACCTCCCATCCCCGTCAAACAAGGTGCCAGGGATGCCCCTCTGTGCTATGATCTAATGCGGGGGTCAGCAACCTTTTTGAAACTTCGTGATAATTATTTATGGGGATTTTGGTGTCACGCCCCTGCCCGCTGTAAACATCATTTTTGTTCTACCTATCCACCACGGCTTTAAGCTCAATGACCGGCGTGTATTGGCACCCAATATAGTGGCGCCTGTGTCTTTAAGAGAGAAAGTATAAAATTTAATGTGGAAGTGGAGGAGAGCCAGTGAGAGAGGAACGTGTGAATTTATCAACATTTGTGCTTCCTTTCGCAAGCTGTGTGCCGAGGCTCCGTGCACCGGCATGCGCCCTCTCCCAAGGCTTCTGAAGAGCACATCCTCTCTCTCTCTCTCTCTCTCTCTCTCTCTCTCTCTCTCTCTCTCTCTCTCTCTCTCTCTCTCTTCCTCCCATCTCCCCCTACCTCCCACCAGGGCGCTCCCTTACACACACCCATACACACACTTACACATTCACATTCACACACACACACAAACACACACCGCCGGCGGGGAGCGCCGGCGCTGGACCGCGGCCATCTCGCCACAGGGAAAGGAGTCCGAGCGAGGGCGAAGGGACAAAAGGGAAACAAAGCGGGAGTGGAGCGAGTGGAAGCCGGAGCCTGGCGCGAGGCGCAGGAGCGACCTTTACGTGGAGTGAAAAAGGAGGCGGGAACAAGGAAAGGGGAAAGGCGATCACTGTCACGGCTGCAGTGTTCCTTGACGCAGCATGGGCAATGCACCATCCCAAGGCATGTCAAACCCTTTTCTTTTTAGATGATGTGTGTGTGTGTGTGTG